CCGTCCGACGTCTAGGTGTTCTGCCCTCCCATGTCCTGCCTATGTCCACCTACCTCCGCTGGTGCATTATATTTCCTTAAATGTCACTACTCATCAGTCGCAGGTCTTATTACATGTGTCCTCATGCTCCGCAGCGCTGCATGTTCTATTACCTGTCGCTACGTCGTGCCCTCGCCAGTGTCGCTACTATACTCGCCTACACATCCCGAACCCCTATGCAGTATGATAAAATGACCCGTCCTACATATAGTACAGTACTTCCCTTCCCTGGACCTTTGCTGGTGTCGGAGTCACTTTAGTCGCTATATCCTAGTTTTGGTGCAATCAATTCCGCTCTTGCCAATCTCTCTGATCGCGTGTCGCTTGACTTGCCTTGAGTGCGCGTTGCTAGAGTTCCCTCATAAGTTTGATTTTCGCAACGTCAGGGATCGCTATCAGTAGTCGAGCTATAATCTAGTCACTATCGGGCATTCCACTTGCACTATCATACCTTATTCCTCGCTTTCCCTTCTTTTGATTTCTTCTCGCTGTCACTAGTCGGACGTCGCATAGCGCTATCGCATAGGACAACTTGCATAGCGCTCCTCACTTATACACACGTTTCTCTGTTGGAACTCACTTGCCGCTAGTCGCTGATTGCTACAGCTGCTACTCATTGGTTTTTGGTCTTAGGTCGCTATAGGTTATTAGCCCTTCGCATCATCGCTACCCTTGCATACTTGAAGGGAGTTGCTTCAATAGCAGTCCTCTTGGGTCGAATACTACACTCACGCCTATTTGGATAAGTAGCGCTAGTTTCTAACCAGCCTAGTAGCTATTACTCTTTCACAGCGCTATCGCTACCCTTGCATATTTGTAGGGAGTTGCTTCAATAGCAGTCCTCTTGGGTCGAATACTACACTCGCACCTATTTGGATAAGTAGCGCTAGTTTCTAACCAGCCTAGTAGCTATTTCTCTTTCACAACTGGAGCCCACCGCAAGGGGGCCATTTGAAGCTGGAAGGCACACCACCTAGACCTACCAAGACCCGAAAACCTCGCGACCTTAGTGACATTTCGCAAGAAGATTTTTTCTACTCAGTAATAGATTCCACCAATGAAGAAGTCGAGCACACTGCATTTGACTCGCGATCCCGCTCATCTTCGGAAGCTACTGTTATCCGCCATCTCACTCCCGACTTCAAAGAAGAGGAAGAACCCCTTGGACAATTAACATCACATTACCTTCCGCTCCCTCGAGTTCTGTTCGTTACTGTAGACACTCCCTCCACCGCATCATCACTCACCCCCTCTACACCATCTCGCGACAATTCGCCCAAAAGGCAGAACCTTTTCATACCCGCCTCATTCATACCTAGCTCTATCCTGTCTCCGCGAAAGCAACTAAGCACTCTCCCGCCTTCCATACCCGACCCCGCTATTCATACCGCGTCTTCCTCGACAGCACCATTTACTACCGCCCTTCCTCCAGTCGTGCAACCCGCTCTTTTAGCTCAACCTGCTCAACCTGTCCAACCCGCCAACATGTCTTCTGCACCATTCAAGATGCCTCTTAGAGGAACCGACGCTGCGCCAAAATTCAATGGCACCCCAATGCGCCTCATACCATTTTTTGAGGATGTGGAATTACTTGCTGACTATGCAGGACTTACCGTTGAGCAGCGCATCAAGGCTGCGATCCGATACGTGCCCGTAGACGAGTCAGAAACATGGGCATCAAGACCTGCTGCGAAAGGTAAAGATTGGGACAAGTTTGTCAATGCCATCAAGGCTATGTACCCAGGATGCGAAGGCGATCATCGCTATGCACGCACTGATTTGGAAAACCTTTGCAGGGAACAAGTCCGCAAACCGATTTGCTCGAAGGAGGAACTCGGACAGTTCTACCGCAAGTTCCTTCACGTTTCGCAATACCTCCTAGACAAGAGTAGGATAGTGGAACTCGAGCTCGGTCGCTACTTTTTAGAAGGTATCCATTCCACGGCCAATACCGCCATCAAGCAAAGGTTAGAGATCAAGTTAGTCGACCATCATCCCGACGACCCATACACCTTGGAAGAAGTATACAACGCTGTGGTATTCCTGCTACCCAGTATTGCGCCTACGGCAGTCGCAGTTTCACCTCCTGTCCCACCCGCAACTAACCAGCAAACCGCACCTCAGCAACCCGCCACCGGAGCTGTGGTAAAGCAGGGAGTATAGCCAGATGCGACCTCTCTCCAACAACGTGTGTTACTTCTGCAGGAGGAGATCACTACACGAACCGCTGCCCTTTACGCGACCAATATGCCAGCGAGGGGTTTCCTACTGGGTCTGACATTATATGCCCGATGCGTGCAGCCTGCTTGAGTGGCTCAAGGATAATGTCAAGACATTGATGGATTAGGTGAGCTTCTAGAACACCTTGCATACGCTTGACCAGATGCAAAAATTCAATGATAGGAAGCAGGGCTGTGAGAAGGAAAGCGTGTGATGACTGCCTTGTTTCGAACTGCCATCTTGATGTTGGCAAGGCTGATGAGGAGGGGGTGAGCAATGCGTCCACTGGTCATGTTCATAATATTGGTCTTATCAGACAAAAATATTACACCAAGCAATGTAGAACCTTCCGGAAGCTTAGACTGCAATCAAGCAATGGCAGTTAGACAAATAATCTCACTAAACGATAAGGTACGAACCTGCATCATCCAGGCTGCTTCGCCAGTCATCCACTCACCATATATCCATACTGTATGCTCCACCGTGGTGTATATGCATTCAGGTATGAGGTCGATATCCCTAGCAAATCCAGGATTGTTGAAGAGTGATTCAATACAGTCCAGCAGATCACACCAATACAGGTGCACAGGTAGTTTCATTGGCTGATCAGGTGGGAATAACACAATATTGCCACTTGGGACCAGAAGGTAGAGAGTCGTCGATGGGTGGGGTATCTGCGGGTGGTAGGTGTTGCTGGGGTAGGTGTAGTAGGAGTTGGTATGATAGGTACAGCAGGAGGAACAAGAATGCTAGATGTATGCTCAACGGGAGTTGGTATCTCGACCAGAGGTGGAATGGGAATTGCGATGTGGGGGGATGGGGGTCTGGCAACTGGATTCGTTGCAATTTGTTCAGTGATGATATGGATAGCTTCTCAAATAATCTCTTTAGTAGAAGCAGGCATGAGGCACACTGCAGTATTACAAATACGTATGTGAAGGTGATGGAAGATGGTCTGATAGCAGGGGTCATTGAGAAGACCAGCGGTTTGATCAATGAGATTGGCGGCATAGATTATATTAATGATAAGTGCACTGGAAAGAGCTCCTCATTTGGCGAGAAGGTGGTCTATTTCAATGGTGTATTGCGTGGAGAGGAGGGCGGATTCAAATAGGGTATTAGTCTTGATGTCGTCAAGGATGTTGAAGTAATTGGAGGTGAAGCTCAGCACAACCCCGTAGCTCTTTTGCCATGCGATAGGAGAGCAGTAAGGTTTTGATCTGTCAAGGACTTAAATTCCTAGCTAATCTGGAGTCGGTGAAGGAAAACATACCAGTTCTATCCCCAGGAAGTGATCTATAGCCACCATACTCAACATCAAGTACAGTAGAAAACTGGCGAGCTCCCAGTCCTGAAAGGATGCGAATGGATAATACAAGTTATCATTATGATGATGTGCATATATATCATCCTTGAATTGCTCCAGGAAAGTTAGGCCATGTGCGTGTATCCTTGCAGCACCTTCAAAACATGTAAAATCCCCCCCCCCCCCCCGCCGCAGCTCCACCACATTGGTCCACCCTTGGTCCTATTGGATCTGAGCTCATTCTACCTAGGACTTTACCTTCCCTAGACAATTGGACTATATCCATGATTCATATCCTAGTCCCATCTTCACCTAGATCTCCGGATCCGCTCATCTGATATCCGGACGCCTCATCCAATACCCAGACCTCCGGATCCAACCTATACTCATATCCGAAGCTCAAACCTTAAATCAGCATCTATCTCCTTATGGTAATCCCCGTGACTCTGGACTTTGGTTATCTGTGTTTCCGTCTTGCTTATTGATCCTTGTACTCTGTCTCATCTCCGAGTTCATTTACTTATGTTCTGTTCATACTTACCAATATGTTTCCACATGCTCGTACATAGCATTTGTCTTCAGCTTACTGATCCTCTCAGATCCCATCCAGTATATAAACCTCTGTACAACTCCTGTAGAGTTTCCTTAGTTTGAATATCATCTTAGACTTTGCTCTTTCAACATGGACTTGCTCTCTTGCACCTTAGACTTCACTCATTCTGCTCACGGACTTCACTGGTCCATCTTAGTCTGACCTTTCCTTAGGCCTAGGGAAGGATTCCCTAGGCCAACTTTTTGGTCCTCCAGATTTATCCTTCTGTCTACATCCATGCTTAGGGATTGATTCCCTAAGCCAGAGTTTTGCCTTTCTGGCACTTCCTATCTTTCCGAGACTTCTGTCTACTTCCTGTCAACTCCATCTCTACTTAAGTGTAGTCTACCTCTGTTTGTTTCTACTCCGGACCTTGTCCATAGTAGCCTTTCCCCTCCTGTCCTAATCCTGTCCGCTCCTCTGGTCCTCCTGACTTTCAGACCTCTGGACATCATAACCTTCAGACGTCATAACCTTTGGATGATGTAACCTTCGGACCACTCCTCCTATCCTATCCTGCTTTGGACTCTGTCCCTTGCAGTCTCTCCTCTGTGTTTCCACCTAGGGAACTTACCTTGGGAAGTCTCACCTTCGGACCCAATGCAGTGGATGAAACTCCTCCGGAGTTTCCTGTACTCCTACGGAAGTTTCCCGCACTCATCCGGAAGTCCTCTAGCACTCTACTAGAGTAGCCAGCCTCCAGAAGTCCTTCGGACTTCATCAGATTCCATCTGGACTTCATTCTGAAATTAAGGGCACATACTCAGGTAAGGGGCACAGCATATGAGCTGGGTCCAAGCCCTTCAGATCTGTCAACCCTTGAGCTAGGGTCTTAACACCACCCTTATGCTTGTTGCTGTGTTTGTAGTTGTACCAGTCAATATAACGGAAGTAGGCAGTGTTGCAAATGGTGGAGGACATCTGCATAGCAGTGGTGGACCAGTGAAGCGGTAACTCGGGTTTGGAATTATGAGCCTTATCTATCATGCTCTGCTCGAGCCCAAACCCCTCCATGATAGACATGATCTCGGCCTTGAGGTTCACAGCACTTCTGTTGAGTAGGCAATCTACATTTGTCATATCCACTTTGGGAATGAGAGTCTGTAGGTTTGAATTGTAAGATGGGCAATAATACACATAACAAGACGGGACATACCCCTTCAGCATAGTGCTCAGGATCCCCCCAATCAAATCGAAATTTGCCTGATGCTTCATCTTTCAAGAATACTGTGATTCTAACCACCTTCAACTTCAACCAATTGTGCCCCCCAACAACTACAGGCCTGTACATTGTGTCAGATGTTTTGGGCGGAACAAGGCTCTTGAACTTCTTGCAGTTCATCCATGATCCAGATTTGCGAAGCGACTTTGCGACCTGAGTGTGCTCTTCAGGGCCTTGAAATATGCCATCCTCATCGATCAATATCCTAATTAGTGTCTTGATATCCGAGTTGTTCTTCACCATGTGCCCAAATTTACGCATGATAGATACATCACTTTGGCTGAAACCCACTTCAACAAGCCACCAAATGAAACTTTTGTCATTGCTGAGCTGATCAATACAGTGCACGACACCCATGATGTCTGGGACTTGCTGCGATGATTCTTCATCGGGGAGCCAATTGTTTGTGAAAATTGTGTGTCCACAACAAATGAATTCCTGCACAGCTTGAGTCAGATTGGCAGCACTGTGTGGCACTGTGTGGCACTGTGTGGCACTGTGGCTCCGCTGCACAGGAGGGGACTTCACTGTGATGCTGCAGTTGCTGTATGGTGCTGTGTGATACTGCACGTCACCTCAAATCGCACAAGGGTTTTGCTGATGATGGACTCTCCTCAATATCCTTATAGTGTGAGAATTTTTCTCTACACATATCTCGCGTTTTTCACCACTAGTGTGAGCCCCCAATGTATTGTTACTAGTGTCATCATAACATCTTGAAAAGGTGACTGCCCACATCCTCGGTGCTGCGTTCACGGCCACAGCTCCTAATGTGCCTGCTTGGAATGCAGGATTCGATGACAGCTCTTCCATTGGTGGCTTATTATATAGTGTGCTACTACCTACAGGCGCATTTGGAAAACTTCTGGTTGCTCTGGTTGCTCTCAGCACACCCAGTGCTTGTGCACCAACTATATATACATTCAGCACCAGTTTCATGGCTGTCACTCCATGGTTTGCTACAGTGCCAAGATGGGTATATATTCTTATCTCTGAAGGAATGTAAGTATCTTCAGCATCGTGAAACCCTGTGATGCTCATTATTTGTGTTGAAGTCTAATACCAGTGGCCATTGTTGGTGCCAAAACATTTTATACCACTTTTATTGACATCTTGAGTACAAGTCCCAAATATTGCAGTGTCTATTGCTAAAATGATAATTCCTCAGATATCATCAGATACTGGTCATCAGTATTTGGTGTTCTTACAGAACATGTGTTATTTCAGTGGGCCTCGTTTTCTGAGGATCAATATCCCATCACGACTTAGGCTTCATATACTCTGTTACCTAGTAGTATTCCTGCAGTCGTGGCCTTCGTGTGTGCCTGTGGAGCCCTTGTTCCATTCATGTCACAGGCTTGGTATGTAGGACCAGTTGCAAGGCATTGGAGTGGAGATGTTGGGGTGTTTGTAGGGTTTGTGGTGGGGGCTATCACATATGCATTGGCAAGGGGTTTCAAAAAATCATGGTACAAGAAGATGAGTAAATCAGATGCCTAGTAGCAGTAGTCATTTCTAAAGCAAACAGCATGTACACCGTGACGAACTGCTCTCAGTTGACGTCGAAGAGACAAGATAGATTTCGGAAATTCAAAAATTGAATGTCAGTTTACAATGGACAAATCATGTAACTCGAACATATGTGTGGCATGCAGCAGTAACTTTGTATTTGCTGTCGTGCAGCGGTCCTGGTAGTGGTGACAAAAACATGTTTGTTTTATCGAAGCAAATAGTTTTGTGGTGGAAGCTCTGAAGGGGCCAGAAAGTCAGGGCTTTAGACACTGGGGCCATCGGCAAGTCCGGCAGAGTCCAGCTGAGTTTAAACACCGCTTGATGACAAAGCTCAGCGCTCAGCTTCGCAACCTCGCAATGTGCTCAGTGCTCGCCTGCCCGCCAGAATGCAGCTGCCATTGGAATATTACTGTGTTCGTGCTCCGCCTCAAGTCTACAGCTTATGATCCACTGTCCTTCCCGTCCATATTTCTCATCTTCCTGTGTTTCCCACCCGCCCGCTCTTCTTCCTGCATACCCGTGGACTGAGCCAACCATCCTCTAGATCCACAAGCAACCAGGGGGGACTCAAGGCGGCCTCTGGTTAAAATACCTCACTGCATGGTGCCATGCCTTAGGTGAGGTCAGCAAGAAGCAGGCGCATATGATTTTTCGTCGCGCTCCTCCTTCACTCGCTCAAATTCATTGATTTGTCCCACTACTTGATTTGTTGGTTCTATTATAGAACAGCCTTCTATATGTTTCGCACTTTGATTTATCGGTTCTGTCACCTACACACTTGTCTTATGTAGCACATGTAAGCGATGTTGGCTTCGTCTGCAATCACGCGAGAGTAACAAGCCAAACGAAAGTTTCATAAGGGTCAGGAGTAAAAATAGGTAACACAAGCATCATGTGTCGGGACAGGCAGATAAGCTAGCGCAGCGCATGAAACTTGCAAGGTCAACAAATGAAATATGTGAGTGTTACAGTTGGATGCCCCTGGAGCGAGGTCAACAGGTTGCTGATATCCAGGTCAGGTGACAGGATGACTGACTTGGTGGTACACTGCTGACATAGATCGTGTCAACGCGTCAGTACCTCTGGCTTATGGTGGTGACAGACTCTCGGAGATCGCGGTGGCTGTGATCATGCTGCTTACGTGGTATGTCGGCCAATGATGACCGTTTGAAACAAACCAAATGCCCTGGCTTCAGATCCAGAGTCCGCCCGAGACTAGTTGGCCGTCCATTTCCTGGATGTCCTCGGCTGAAACAAAGCAAATGCCCCAGAGTCCGCTCCACGCTCCAGACTTTGATTCATTTCCTGGATGTCCTCCTACATCTGGTTAGACCATGACAAAAAGCAAAGTTTCGAAATGCATAGACATAATTCTGACCCTACACTCATACCTCGCTTCGGGGTAGAATACCAACTGTCAGAGATATGTTCACTGAATCGTGCCGCGTCGTTCCCAACTTGAAGCTTTGAAGAATTGGGGACGAAACAGATCGAGAAGCTCGATTGATCATGCTGTTTTCATATATGCGGCATATGATCTTATTCGTCACGGTAATCGGATCCCATTCACTTTACTTCCGAGTCCGCTAGCTAACGACATTTAGTAATAGGAATAGGCACCCAACTGCATCTGTTACTTTCTCACTGACGCCGTTGCACATCGAGCGACCAAACTGAAACAGGTCGATTACTACTCACGCAATGCAGTCTTACGCAGCGGAGCAGAAACTGCCTGAGGACAGGTCCGTTGAACTGCCATTCCAGACCCAGTGTGTCCTCTGATGTGAACATTTCACTGGCAGGGATGATAGAGTGGAGGACAGTCGCAATCACATAGGATTCCTCAGACGTACCACTCAGTTACTTTCTCGGTATGGAATTGAAACTCGTGGGTGAGTGAGATGGAGATGTTGTGATACCTGTCTTAGCATTTTTACTGATCCTTGGATTAGCATCGTGCCGGTGCCAGCAGAGGAACGTCTCGAGACTCGGTGGTACCAGTTGTTTTTCGTTTGGTTCTCCTCTTGCATGAATCTCTTGTCGTACGGTTTCAGTACTGTCCTAATTCTGGCACTATTCTCTAATTCACCTAACACCTGCAGATTCAGCACTGGCACTGCTGGCCCTGCATTTTTTTCCATGGGAGTTCGCGACTCCTTAGCTATTATCATCGTCGTTAACCTAGTGTGAGTCAACAGCTCACAAAATCTCGATCTGCAGCGATTGACCTTCGGCTAGATGTTGTTTATTGCCAGGATTCTTGTGAGTTTTACTATTCTTCTGCGCATTTTCAGGGATTTCATATTGCGCTAGTGCTGTTTTCGGGCCAAAGCTTGGCATGCGAGCCATGGTGCAAGCAAGGTTCTCATGGGGGTGAGTTATTTTCCCGATTGCCAGTATCATTCTCTGATACATATCAAGATATTTCGGTGCCATCATACCGGCCGTCTTGAATGCTTTCTCCTTGGAAGGCTTCCTTATTCTGAACTGCATTATTGGCGGACAAACGATAGCTAGCTTGTCTTCTCAACTTAATGATACTCTTGGTATCGTTATCCTTGGTATCGTATCTCTTATAGTATGTCGGAATTCCTCCTGCTGCACCAAAGTTGACAGATCTCAAGGTCACTTTCTGTGGATACCGCGTTATCCATTGGTGGGACCACTCCAACACCAATTATCCAGAATTCTGACGGAATATTGATTCATAGGTACGAAAGTGTTGCCTGGATCCCGAATGTAATTGCTTTTATCGCCATGCTGGCTGTCGGTTATCCACAACTACACGAAAACCTATCGGCCCCTGTCCCTCCAGCAACACCTGCTAATGTCATATCTTTTGCATCCTTTCTAGCATCTAACATTATCGGCTGGTGTCCAATGATCTCTGACTATGGCATATACCATAGCCCTGATGCTTCTTCGTGAGCTTTCCCGGGCTATCACCAGGGCTCTCCTTGACATTCCGATAGTGCCAGAATTTTTATCTACACATATCTTGGGTTCTTCGTGTCTAATGTGAGTCATTTATGTCGGTATCAGTTGCATCTTAACAATTTTATTTTGAAAAGGTGACTGGTCAGGCTCTGGGTGCAGCATTCGCAGCAGCAGCTCCGAGCGTGCCTGCTTGGAATGCAGGATTCGATGACAGCTCTTCCGTCGGTGGTTTGTTACACAGCGTCTTGTTACCTACAGGTGCATTTGGAAAAATCCTGACTGCTTTGGTCGCTCTCAGCATATCCAGTGCCTGTGCACCAACGATGTATACGTTCAGCACCAGTTTCATGGCTATTGCTACGTGGTTTTCTACGGTGCCCAGATGGGTATTTGTCCTCATCTCGGAAGGAATGTGAGTGTTATCAAGTGGATGTAAACCTCGGAGATGCTCATAATTTGGATTCAAGCCTGATACCAGTGGCCATTATTGGTGCCAAAAGGTTTTACGCTACCTTTGTCGACATCCTTAGTACAAGTTCCAAATATCAGTGTCTATTGTTAGCGCTAACATGCTGATCTTAGACATCGTTGGATATTGGTCATCAATATTCTGTGCGATAATACTCACAGAGCATATGTTATTCCGACGAGCCTCATTTTCCGACGATCAATATCCCATCTCGACTTGGGCTTCATATGCTCTCTTGCCTAGCAGTATTCCCGCAGTAGTGGCCTTCGTGTGCGCGGCTGGAGCTCTTGTTCCATTCATGTCACAGGCTTGGTATGTAGGACCAGTAGCGAGGCAGGGCAGTGGAGACGTTGGTGTGTTCGTAGGGTTTGTGGTGGGAGCTATCGTCTATGCGTTGGCGAGAAGTTTCGAGAAAATACTGTACAGAAAGATGTACTAGTACTTACATCAACATGTGCGTGAGTTGCCTTTGACTGCCTTTTGACATTGCAACTGATAAGAGACAAGTTATTTTTGGATCCGTGCCAACTCCGAGGCTTCGATCCTTCTAGAAACTTGAATATTCGATGACGACATATATGACCTAGATTTACTTACCCCACACTTGATCAAGACTGCTGCCGCTGCGATATTTTGAGCCGCTTGGGAGTACACGGACCAGCGAAATCACGGGTATGATAGGAGCCCTTTGGGAAGAGGGTCACCGCAAAATGTGGTATCTCCGCATCGATATAGAACAGCACATTAATGGTACTCTCCAATAGCCCTCCATAATATCGATGTCACGACCTCTGCCTGCACGCCCACCTTCGATGTCATTGTCAAACGCGGGCCATGAACAGACACTTGCAATGACAGCCTGAGTGAGGGTCAGGCGTACACGAGAATGGGACGCCGGTACAGGGAAAAATGGTGTGTGGGCACGAATCTACGAGCTCTCGAGGCGCCCGATGAAACACTACGTCTTTCAGCTTGAGCTCGATGCCGGTCATCCTCCATTTTGGTGCGGGTGGTGCTAGGTACTTTACAGCATGGCTGTCGTTTTACTTACCGTGATATCTGAGGAGGAGTGACTGCCTTCGGTTGCCTGGCACGGGGGTGTCTTCTCTTGGAGGCTACCGTTGTCACAAGGAATCATCAGCGCGTTCATTTGCTTGTTCGCTGATGTGCAACCTTGTACACGATTCGACCGCTAAGGTGGATAATGTACGTGCAATGGATGGAGAACATGACATCGAGGAGTGGACATCCGAGTCATTGCGGCAGTGTGTTAGCACCGCCTGATACAGTGCTTGTAGCCTGTCGTTGTGATGTGGATCTATTTCGTTTGAGCCAAAAGAAATGGCCGCTTTATTTTAGAAAGGAATGGATGTCGCCAGAATAGAAGACACTAAAACGTTGCATGCATAGTATGTATCGTGTCAGTATGTCATCTCAGGGAGATCCAGTTCAAAAGTTCGCGCACGAGCTCGTGGCTTGTACTATATTTATGTTACTGAGGGGATCTGGTAGATCATATGTGGCGTGACGTGTGTATGTAATATGACGAAACCTCCAGAGTCCGAGACTTTACTAAGCCCCAGAGTGTCCATTCCCTGGATGTCCTCGGCTGAAACAAACTAGATGCCCTAGGCTCTGGTCCTGGATGTCCTTCTACTACTAGTACGTCTTCTTTCTCGGGTTAGCCTAGACCGCGACACAAAGCAAAGTCTCGAAATGCATAAACATAATCCTAATCCTACACTCCGTACCTCGCTTCGGGGTAGAATACCAACTACTATCAGAGATATGTTCACCGAATCATGCCGCGTCATTCCCAACTTGAAGCTTTGAAGGCTTGGGGACGAAACAGATCGAGAAGCTTGATTGATCATGCTGTTTTGATATATGCGGCATATAATCCTATTCGTCACGGACTCACGGTAATCGGATCCCATTTCCTTTACTTTCGCTAGCTAACGATATTTAGTAATAGGAATGGGCACCCAACTTCATCTATTACTTTCTCACTGACGCCGTTGCACATCGATCGACCAAACTGAAACAGGTCAATTACTTACTCACGCAATGCAGTCTTACGCGGCGGAGGAGAAACAGGACAGGTCCGTTGAACTGCCATTCCACACCTAGTGTGTCCTCTGATGAGCATATCAGGGATGATAGTGTGGAGGACAGTCGCAATCACATAGGATTCCTCAGACGTGCCACTCAGTTACTTTCTCGGTATGGAATTGAAACTCATGGGTGAGTGAGATGGAGATGTTGTGATACATTTTACTGATTTTTTGATCAGCATCGTGCCGGTGCCAACAGAGGAACGTCTCGAGACTCGGTGGTACCAGTTGTTTTTCATTTGGTTTTCCTCTTCCATGAATATCTTGTCGTATGTTTTCAGTGTTATCTTAATTCTGGCGCTATCCCCTAATCCACTCAACTCCAGATCCAGCACCGGCGCTGCTGGCCCTGCATTTTTTTCCCTGGGAGTTCGCGACTCCATAGCTATCATCGTCATCGTTAACCTAGTGTAAGTCAATAGTTCACGAAATCTCGATCTGCAGCGATTGACCTTCAGCTAGATGCTGTTTATCGCCAGGATTATTGTGGGTTTTGCTATTCCTCTCTGCGCATTTCCAGGGACCCCATAATGCGCTAGTGCCATTTTCGGGCCAAAGCTTGGCATGCGAGCTATGGTGCAAGCAAGGTTCTCATGGGGGCGAGTTATTTTTCCGATTGCCAGTATCATTCCCTGACCGATACCAAGGTATTTCGGTGCCATCATACCGGCCGTCTTGAATGTTATCACATCCGAAGGCTTCCTTATTCTGAACTGCATTATTGGCGGACAAACGATAGCTAGCTTGTCTCCTCAACTTAATGATACTCTTGGTATCGTCATCATTGGTATCACATCTCTTGTGGTACGTTGGAATTCCTCCTGCTGCACTAAAAATGACAGGTTTCAAGGTCACTTTCTGTGGATACCGCGTTATCCATTGGTAGGATCACTCCAACATCAATCATCCAGAATTCTAACGGAATATTGATTCATAGGTACGAAAGTGTTGCCTGGATCCCGAATGTAATTGCTTTTATCGCCATGCTGGCTATCGGTTATCCACAACTACGCGAAAACCTATCGGCTCCTGTCCCTCCAGCAACACCTGCTAATGTCATATCTTTTGCATCCTTTCTCGCATCTAATATGATCAGCTGGAGTACCATGATCTCTGACTATGGCATATACCATAGCCCTGATGCTTCTTCGTGAGCTTTCCCGGGCTATCACCAGGGCTCTCCTTGACATTCCGATAGTGCCAGAATTTTTATCTACACATATCTTGGGTTCTTCGTGTCTAGTGTAAGCCATTTATGTTGGTATCAGTTGTACCTTGACAATTTTCTTTTGTAAAGGTGACTGGTCAGGCTCTGGGTGCCGCATTCGCAGCAGCAGCTCCGAGCGTGCCTGCTTGGAATGCAGGATTCGATGATAGCTCTTCCATCGGTGGCTTGTTGCACAGCGTCTTGTTACCTACAGGCGCATTTGGAGAAATCCTGACTGCTTTGGTCGCTCTCAGCGTAACCAGTGCCTGTGCACCAACGATGTATACGTTCAGCACCAGTTTCATGGCTATTGCTGCGTGGTTTGGTGCGGTTCCCAGATGGGTATATATCCTCGTCTCAGAGGGAATGTGAGTGTCATCAAATGGATACAAGCCTCGGGGATGCTCATGATTTGGGTTCAAGCCTGATACCAGTGGCCATTATTGGTGCCAAAAGGTTTTATGCTACCTTTGTCGACATCCTTAGTACAAGTCCCAAATACCGGTGTCTATTGTTTGCGCTAACATGCTGATCTCTCAGACATCATTGGATATTGGTCATCAGCATTCTCTGCGATAGTACTCACAGAGCATGTGTTATTTCGGCGAGCCTCGTTTTCTGAGGATCAATATCCCATCTCGACTTGGGATTCGTATACTCTTTTGCCTAGTGGTATTCCTGCGGTCGTGGCCTTCGTGTGCGCGTGTGGAGCTCTTGTTCCGTTCATGTCACAGGCTTGGTATGTAGGATCAGTTGCGAGGCAGGGCAGTGGAGATGTTGGTGTGTTCGTAGGGTTTGTTGTGGGAGCTATCACCTATGCGTTGGCGAGGAGTTTCGAGAAAATACTGTACAAGAAGATGGGTAAAAATGCTCACTAGTACTTATATCGACGTGTACATGAATTGTATTTGATTAGAGACAAGTTATTTTTTGATTGGTGCCAACTCTGAGGCCTCGATCCTTCTGTCAATTTGAATATTCGATGACGACGACGACGACGACGACGACGAATATCTGACCTGGATATACTTACACCACACTTGATCATGTAATCGCACATGACGTGATGGCGGCGACTGCTGCCGTTGCGAATTTTTGAGCTACTTATAAGTACACGGATCGGCGAAATCACGGGTATGATGGGAACCCATTGGGAACAGGATTATCGCAAAATGTGGTATCTCCGCATCGATGTAGAACACCGTATTAATGGTACTCTCCAATAGCCAGACTCTACAATGTCGGTGTCACGACCTGTGCCTACTGACCTTCGCTGTCGTTGTCAAACGACCATGAACAGACACTTGCAATACTAACAGCGTCAGGCGTGCACGAGAAGGGGGCGCTGGTACAGGAGGAAACGGGGGGGCGGGCACAAAGCTGTGAGCTGTCGAAGCATTCGATAAAATGGCGCGCGTCAACTTGAGCTCGATGCCGGTAATCCTCCATTTTGGTGCGGGTGGCGCTAGGTGGCTTGTACAGCAGGATGCTGTGTTTACGTTACTGTTGAAACCTGAGGAGGTCCGGTAGATCATATGTGGCGTGACGTGTGTAGTATGACGAGATACGCACATAGCCTTATGGAGAGCTGCCACAGACGCCGGTAGCAGGATTGTTAGACAGAGAGGCACCCGACCTATATACGGTAACCAGCCTGGCTCGCATGCGGCATATGCTGTGGTAGCCAAAAGTTACTTAGCATAACTGCCAGGCAGTGTGTAAAGCATAGCCTAGTGCAGCGAGCCTTGTCCGTCCTGAGCCTATGAGTCTCGTCTGCTCATAGTCAGCAAGCGGTTGAGCTCTCTAGTCATTTGCAATTGCTCTAAACCTACTGTGCAATAGGTTGACCACCGATCGAGTCGCATGCAATAACCAGCAGACGTCGCAAACGACAATTTCTTCAATACGCACCAATCAATCTAGCGCATCTGTCGAACGATCACAAGTTACTAGATCAGGCTGTTGGACTCAATGAGGATTCCACGAAAAGAGGGAGAACCTTGAGATACAGAGAACGACTATCCGAGTATATTAAATTACACCTTCCTGAGTGATCGTGTAATGTCCAGTGGCTGGTTCCCGTCTGAGTGTCAAGGTGGTACACTCAGGAAGCTGGGCGAGATCTTGTTCCCAGATCGAATCGGTGCAAATGGCACCTTGTAAGACTGAGGTCTCTTGATGGTCCGACGAGATATAGGCGCGAATAATCGGAGCAAACTTGGCCTTGACTACACTGCCGTCTCTGTTTTGCACTGTGAGTACTCTGGAGGGAAATGAAAAGAAGATGACATACTCAACGTCCTTGAAGTAGAGCACCGGCTTGGGCTTTGAGTCTCCCGGGTTCATAGTGCCTGGGTGAGATGCATTGAGGCGAGAAAGAGCAAGAAACTGGGAGTCACAAACTTATTGCAATGTCCTGAACAAATCCAGTCTCGTTGATGGCCTCCAGGTAACCAGGGAGTCCATGCTTAGGGACCTACACAATTTATTTGTGAGCTGTCAGGATTATGACTGACAACAGATAGGCTTACAGAAAACGAAAACTCGAAGCCGTCATACGTCTGGGTCAAGGTGGTTTGTTTGCCGTTCTGCATGATACCTTGCGTTTATGCTAGGAATTTCAGAGTAGATGGGAGCCTCTCACATCGATCTGGGTGTGAGTTCCAGTGTCAACTACGTTCCCATCCTTGATCTGCACTCGAGAGAAAGCAAGTCTATAAGTTGAACGAGTCCAGTTTATGAGCATGATTTGGGTCCCGTACCAAACAGACACTTACTGATTCGTGTAGGTCACGCGCATGCTGTACCGACCTGAGACGAGGGGTCATAGGTAAGTTTACAAGTGAGGCGGACAACACTCACCCATCTCTCCGAATGAGGTAGTCCTGAAATATTGCAAGAGTTAGAGTCATCGAAGCAAAAGCGGGAATCCTGACCTCCAAATAACAGGAAACGACTTATGGTAGATACACTCCATGTCGCTATGGAACATGAGCACAAGCGTCGCCTCCTTGCCAAGATCATCACTGAGACAGCCGTGTCAGAATTAATGAGGGCAGCGCAGCGACACTCACGTCTGAAAGGTTAAGTCTCTGACGAAGGCGGATGCCATTGCTTGAGGTTGAGTGATTATCGAAATACTTCGAGTTCTTGAGTCAGAGACTCAGAAAGGTCTTTATATGTTTCGGGTCGGCGGTCAGAGGCTGTATCTATTCCCTGGTTATATGGGGCCTTTTCTGTACCTTCGTATCTTCTGCAGAACCTTGACCTAGTTAGTACTACTTAGATGCATTACACCACCCCTTACCTGCTTGCTTGGCCAAAAGCAGCCCCTTCTTAGCGGGCCTTCCCATCTTCGTACCTGCCGCTGGGGATGCATTATACCCTCCCCTTACATCGGTTAGTTATCTATCCAGTTTCCCCTTAGCCTTTCCTTATAAGCCAATAGAGACTTGAGAACTCCGTCTCGTCTTCGACGTCCGAGCGCTGCCAGCCTAAAAAGACTTTCCTTGGTTGGTATATAGCCAGTGGCAGCTCCTCCTTGATCCTCTCCACCACCTTCAATCGGAAGCTCGGAACCGCCGTTGGTACCACGTTCAGGTGCATAATGCCGCTCGTGGACGCCACATCATTGACAGTCTTGCCTGCCTCACCGTTCCTGTTCCTCAATCCTTTTCGGATTTCATGTTGCCTGGGTTTTGCCGCAAACAATAAAATGAGTGGGACAAGAGGGGACAGCACTCCTCATTTGAACGGTGGGGTTACTACCAAGATCCAAGGCTGGGTCTACACGAAATCGGTAGGAATGAGACGACATGATATGACAGAAAGAGACTTGAACGATCGACGTTGTAAACCCACACCGAGTATAGTGAGCTTCGACAGTACTAACCTGAGAGACTCTACTATGTGCTGCCAGTGGATCTGCATGTAGTAGAAATGCGATGTGATGAAGTTAACGTCCAAACCTAAGCTTGATTTACATAACTTAACTTAACTTAAACTTTAGTCCGACTTGAACATCCCTTCCAGGCACCCACTGCAGAAGTCGGCAGTCACGCAAATGTCACATAGGCTGGTTTCAAAGTCAACTCGTCAGTCAAGCAAGAGCGCAAGGTCAGCTGTACTTGCTCGCTCACGCTGAATACTGACAAACCAGTCAGTATTCGGAGTGAGCAAGCAAGTACAGTATTTACTAGTAGATATGTCTAAGTATGAGGGTAGCCATTATTAGTGCTGTGGTTGTAAAATTGAGGTAGATGAGGGAGACCATGTAGATTGCATGGATGCTGAGGTTGTCTATGTAAGTTCGATAATGCAATATTGGGACCGCCGGATGGCGCATTGTAGAGAGGTCCTGTTGATGATGGCATCATGCTGCACATGCAGTGGTTGAATTCTTCGAACGTGTTTTTCCTGTCTGGAAGAGTGCAGAAAAACATAGTTTGTTAGTAAAGTGATGATTTTCGGTGTCAGCAAGGAACTCTTTGATTCTCACCCTGGGTTCCTCGACCACCCCACCTCTCGACTTGCGAATCGCGGCGGACCAGCTCCATGACCAGCAGTGCACTGTGCTGCACCCAGCACCAGTTGGCAGCAAAGTGGGTATGTGCAGTTTGAAACTCCGTCATGACACATATCGGCAGGTGACATTTCTGAGTGACTTCAGCATTTTCAACTATCTCACTCGATTCTGCTTCAATCATGGTCGTTCAACCTCATAATGAGTTATATATATTAGAGAGAGAATGATATCTACGAAGTAGCTAGAAATACGAGTTTTGCGAAAGTGTCGACTTCTGTGGGGTGCGATAGTAACATTCACACGGCTGATCAGAGCTTAATCTTAAATTTGTGTCACTTCGACCTTATGCCATGAGATACCGATGCCCTCACATCGTCTTGCGCAGCTATGTTTTCTCTCGGACCACACCATGTCTTCCTCGCTGGCACAAAAGAGTCCATCTTCGGTCTCATCTTATCCTAAGCGTTTAGCCTTGGGAGCGTTGTTCTCCAGAACGCTGCCAAGCTATAGTGGTGAGTATCCAGTAGGAGTTCGTGATGTCGAACAGTCGATACTTTGGAAACTTCAAGCATAAATTCTATGCTAGATGCGGAGGCAGGTCTTTCAGTGAACATCTGGATGTCATTCATAAATTACGATTGATATTGTGATGTTCACTCTGTTCTACCCTGCAACCACGGTCACCTCATTACACAAGCCGTCAAGCCATTTGGTTTCCGAAGCTGGTATGTAGACCTCTGCTGCCAAAAATCTATGACTGACGTCAGGCCAGATTGTACCAGACGGCCTGACGATCACTTTCTCAAGATGGCCAAGCACACGCCTAACTGTGTCTACAGAATATATATATAGCGTGTCTGACCATACCATATTTGCTCACTCGCTTTTGTTTCAGATCCAATTGCTGATGCAGCTATCTGGGGTACAGCTTTTTCTGAGATCGACAATGCGCCATCGATACCATCCTATCTGAGTAAATGACCAGTCATGGAGTTGGCTGCTCACGCCTGACGTATGTAAGTAAGATTTTTGGGCATGGAATAGCTTGTCTCGATTGCTGATCATATAACTGTAGTCCGCATTTTGTGGCGAGATGGCTTCACGTGGCTATGTCGTAGTTGCAATTGAACATCGATATGGCACTGGCCCCAACTCTCGTATTACTACCGAGAGCGGAATCCTAATAGACTGTTGTTGATTGGACTGGTCAAAATTATAGTACGCCAAGTTCCTAAGAATAACCATTTCAGTGTTGCTCACTCGTCGAAGCTGGGTAGATCTGGACGAAGAGCCGAAAAACGATATCAGTCTTCGGCATATTCACCTTGAAGTCCGTAAAGCGGAATTAGAGCAGGTTACCAGGGCCGACAATCGCATTTCTCAAGGGCAACAAGTACGGAGCTAGGATTGGGCGCCTTAGACCAGCGTAGATCCCTCAAGCTCAATTATGGCGGCTCATTCGTTCAGTGGTAGCTTGGCTGAGCCTTTTTTTAACCCAGGGCATTTGGCTGCCGCCGCCTATAGCCGACTCGTCCGTGTGATTGTCTTTGACCCGGTCACACACGATGTGATTGAGTATAACGAATTCTCGACAATCAGCTGATCGCTTTTCAGGGCTTGCTACTTTAAGAGGACAAATATCTACTCCCCTGCTGACCATCGATTCAGAAGAGCCCTCACTTGGAGCTGAGATTACTGTACTGGAGGAACTTCGAGGAAGTGACCGCAACGGCTTCTGCCTGTCACACACTCCTTTTGCGTAGGTATAAAGATCTTTCTGATGTCATTGATCCCGACGTTTCCCGAAGGTGGTGCAACGATGTATTTCTGATCCTTCCAGATTATGTCGATGATCCGGCTTGTAGGGCTTGCAGCCAATCCGCTCTGCGTAATTGAGTCGACGATCGATACTGTCGTCTATAAAGTGGGACTGACGATGCACAAACACGGCCGTGCTGTGGCGTCAGGAGGGCTTTGTAATATTGGAAGATCAAGCTGAACTACATTAATGAACTTATCAAGTCAAGCCAAACGTTCGTTACCGATGTGAATACAATTGCCATGATGCTACATAGGGTATACAAACGAATTGCTAGCCAGCCCATAAATATGAAAGTACTTACGTATAATACATGCTACCGGAAGTGTTCAAACCATGAATATTGAATCTCTTGTCGCCTGTGACCACCTAATTTGACCTCCTCCTGTGCCCTTGTCTTCCCCTCTGCAACCTAACCATATTACTTGCATCAATCATCCTCCGAAGTTGAGCCATAAGATCCTTTGCCAGGAAGACAGTCCCGTTGTCCTCCTCATAGCGTATCCGGTCTTCATCAAGAAGCTCAAGAACACGAATGTCCTCGGGGGATACGCGTAGGTCATGCGAATACCGAAAGATGGACACAAATTCGTGTCGAAAGACGATAACCCCTAGAGATTCTCGTGATGTCTCGGATTGGATTGGATGCACTATGTAGATCATAGACAATTGTATCAGGCTACAATCAGGTATTATGGATAGTGACAACCCACGTTGGACTAGACATATATCTCCCTTTACGCGCGCGAACGCGAAACGTGGATCCGTTTCAAGATGTACTTGTGTCAATATTGATGGAGTGGCAAAGGTTATTGATGGCGACTGCCGAATGTGCGCATCGGCATTGTACGTGAGTGTAGCAGTAGTCATGGACAATGGACAATGTTAATGACCGTTGAACAATGGAATGGACAGGAATCTGGATCCGCAAGAGGAGTGGGGAAGGGTCGCAGCGAAGAAAGCAAGGAATGCATTGTTGGAGATCCTTTATAGGCCGAAGAATACGCTTTGTACCTACATGCTCCGACAATGAGGAAATAACCTCAAAGCGGTGAGGTTTCAAACAGTGGCCTATTTATGATCGGTGTCCTATTTATGGCAGCCGCAAGGCCTGGAGCCAAGAGCACTTCGGGAACCTGCTGCTGGGGCACGGGACCAACCTGTATCTCGGTTATGAGCCTGGAACAGGCATATAGACAGAGATAAGAGTGAAAGCTGGAGTATTCTGTCAATTTTTGGCTCCATCGCAGTATTGAGTTGGCATAAGAAGCGCTGAAAAGTCGTGTATCATGATAGATGAGATCCACGAGATTTCAAACAGCCGCACATGTCCCATACAGTTGTCCGTCATCCATGCGTCCGAGTCACCGCTAGCGGCTAGGCCCTCCAGTGGTGACGGTAGAGTGTTAAGGTTCCGTTGCCTATCGGAATTCGGAATTTGATAATGTCTCCCATTTAGTCAGATCTCTGCTTACTAGTACTAGTACTACTTACTAGTGACTCGCTGAAAAGGGTGGACCTTTGTTTATCTCTTACGACCAGCGTAAATACTATACCATCGGCATCTAACCTGGATGACCAACCCTCAGCGCTCAGCGGCAGGCTGTGCACCGCCTGTCCAAAACAATAAACCGATTAGAACCCTGATACTTGCTCTGTAAGATTTACTTCTATCTCAACTTCTCTGAGCCTAGGCTGCACTATGAGCAGGTACGACATTGATGGCGGGAAATACACATATGGATGACTGGAGTTTCAGATAGTGACTGACTCGCGAGTCGCGCAGTCCGGACGGGCGTCAGGCTTTCAAGTGTTGCTCAATAGTAAATCCTGAGCCCAGCCTGTGGCAAGGAGGTGCGCAGCTGCCGCAGCATGACTCCCATTTTACACTAACACGGCAAAACGGAAGACTCCCAGAGATATATCTGATAGTCCGAGTCAGTTGCAATTTCAAATTTTCGTCTCCAAAGTAGTATCGGCTGGACCGGTAGTAACCACTAGTCACACTGGCAAGTCCAAGTATTGACTAGCAACAGGCAATACATCCACACCCTTTAACTTGGTGTATTAAAACACCTGCTAAGGGTGGATATGTGCTCCGAGCACTTCGTGGAGTACATGAGTCATTGCATGTCATGGTCATGGTCCCTCCAAGAATTCGAAGAACTTCTACTGGCCATGCGGCCGGACTTTCTAGAATCTCGGGGTAGATTTACGCCCCGAACACCACGGAGACTGCTTAAATGTCGTCATCATTCGATGTGATTACTGAGCGTCCTTGGGACCCAAGTCAGCACTTGGTCATGGCATCGCCTCTGGTTAATGTTGCGAAGGTTTGTATCGAAACCCAATTGTCTTCTATGTCTGCACGTGCTTGATGACTTATCTTGTTACCCAGTGTTCCCTGTTGCTTGGATCGCAGTGGTACAGCATCGATGAAAAACATGCAGCATAGCGGGAGTAAGCCCCCCGTGTATAGGGCTATGTCCAACATAGGGTCTAGTACGACCCTAAAGGACAATAAAATGGATTTTTAAAATAAATAAAAACATGCAGCATAACTTATCAGAAATAGGGTTGTCAGCGAAGCCTATTCGCTGATCAGGGTAGATCCAAACTTTGTTTTACATACTGCTGAGCCCATTCTGTAGGAACTCGTTGTCGACGCCGACACCCCCGGGCTGCTGATGTGTTTCCCTCTTTTCTCCGCTGCCAAATTAAATGGCGTGGTACACAATACTGTACACTTTACTTATCGTGTTCCTAATCTTGCTAAGGTTCTGTCAACCTTCTGTCTCTCCACATTCAAATGAACAACTCCTGGATCTCCACGATACTCCACTCCATTGATCAGAATAAGCGTCATCGATCCCTGCTCCAAACATGTTTTTTCACAGTATGTCAGACCGGCAAAGTGGGCAGCTTGATGAATGGCTGCTTTTGAACCACTGAAGGCCAATTTAGATCGTTAGAAAGGTCGAGCGTCTGGTACTCACTTTGTACAAGCAACTTGCATGGAAACGGTTCTTGCAGGTCTTGCAAGGCTTCTGCGGAAGGCTGCTATCCATGACACTGATAATCCTGCTGCGAAGTAAGGACCCATACAATCATACAAGAAACTTGCGTACGAGTAACAGATTGCACACTCCACTTGACCAGCAAAGTGAAGGGTCACATTCTTCGTGAATAGAGTTAAGCCGTCGACAATCCGACCGTTCTGCGTATGACTCGTTAAAGGAACCAGTATTCATCATTGCCATATCGCTTACCTGTTGCCAAACAATTTGTTGTACTCCCAGCACCCAAGCTCTCCATCTGTCTTCAGATACCCCGACCATCTTTGTATCACGGATGTCAAGTCGGTGCAATGGCCAGTCGTTTGGCAATCTCAGAGACAATTCCAGCACTTGATCATCGACTGTGTAGGAGGCTGTGACCTCTCCAGCGCTCGGTGACACTTTGATGACGAGATTCTCCGTTGTGTGTAGCTCTGACGATGGATCAGCCTGCCGCACTTGCGCAAGCTCGGCTCTGATAATGCCTGGTGAGAAGTATGAAGCAGTGTAGTCCACCACGCGCGATAACAGCTGTCTGTCTGAACAGTCTGAGATCCAGGCTCGTATTAATGCTGGGACTGTCAGAAGCGCTCGATGATAGATATGAGCGGCTAGGAGTCGGATGCTGAGGACACTCTCGGGCTCGAAGTCTGAGGATAGTTAAGTTAAAGACATGACACAGGATAGAACCACTGACGGTCAATGAAAAAGTCATCGACTGCCCAAATATCAAGTTTGAATGCCTTCCTCTTTCCACTGAACAGGCCAAGGACATCGAAAACATTAGGAATGAAGAAATCTCCCATGATACCAAGGCTCCTCATTCGATTGAAGTACTGTGACCTCACTTTGGATAGACTGAAGTGTGCGTTAGCTAAGGATGTTTATAGCCCTAAATCAGTACTCACAGCGTCGATGAATAAATCGAACATGATCATCCATGCTAGTAGATAACCGGAAAATTTGTACAGTTCTGACAAATCAATCTTCGACGTTGTCTGATTCGAAATCACGGAATCCCTCTGCTGACGTGAAATTCGATTGCAAAATCGCAAGAAGTTCAGCAGGTAGTTCAGCGCTAACATTGTCTTCTGTGTCAACAGCAGATTCGATGACAAAATATTCGGTCCGCTTTCGAGCTGCTTTGTGCAGAAGGCTGTACCCCATGCGCTGAACTTCGTAGGAAGGATCAGTGAGGAGGTGACACATCTAGACATCAGGTATCAGTACAGGCACTCGAAACCATTCAAAATATTACTTCGGGCAGAGTTTTTCTCGTTCATCAATGCATCAGGCAACCCTTGGATGACCGCAAGTGCTAGTTCCCTGCACAGAGAACGTGGCTCAGAGCGATCGGCATTATCTGTCGCAACTTCAGCGTCGTGCTCTACTGGTCTGAGTTGCGACTGACCAAGTTTCATGGATACCAAGTTCTTAACAAGCGCCAAAATAGATTCTTTCCTCCCGTCCCAGCTTGCACGCAGGGGCTTGTTGGTCAGGACCAGATCTTGAATAGCGAGTATAAGACGGAGCGATCTCCCTAGCATCGTCAGTGTTGCACTGTCGGCAAAAGAACAATTCTGGGTGTAACTTAGCGATGAGTATGACGGCGACTTGTTATGACTGGCTGACATACCTCTAAGTTGTTCTCAACCACATCAAAGATAAATTCCCAATGATTCCCAGCAAGGTTCTGCAAAATCGGGGACAAATGAATGAACAAAAGTGGCATCATATTCTCCACATCTTCATCGATATCTTCGTCCGAAGAGACCCAAGCTTGACATGTCTTTACGACATTGACAGCGCGCTGCTGTGGTAAGAACACCACATCAGACTCAGGATCAGGGGCTGTCGCTGCAAGACGACGAAGCAAGACGACTCCTGTCGTGTTTGCTCTGCTAGCGGGCACTCCGAGGATATCCGAGGCAATCTCGTTGCGGTAACGGTCCATTCTCAATGGCTCTGGAGCAAATTCAGTGATGCTGGCGAGGATGGTCACGGTAGTTTGGGGCGCTATAGACGTATTATTGTGCGAACATCGACCACTACATGATCTATATGGCGCACCTGTCTTTTCCAGCCTACGTGCTAGATTCAACCATTGGTCAGAATCTGCTTTGCTAGCGCTTGCAAATAGGTGCTTCAACACCGAGCGCAGCACTAGTGCATCTCTGACAGTATCCTCCCTTTTGGCATGATTGACAACGTCCACGACAAAAGACACCAAAGCATCTGATAAAGTTGTCGCGCGAGCAGATATGCAAGCGCTGACAACTTGACTGTGAAGACCGTCGTCGCCTGTAGACAGGAGGTAAGTAGATAGTTGGTGAACCTTCCCTAGCAGTCTGCGCAGTTCTGACCGCGATACATCTGGCCCAAACAATCACTTGAAGTTGCGGGGACACGTAGAACATCGTTCGCGTATTGACCAAGTATCAGTATGTGCCGAAGTGCCCACATATTCTCCTTAGCGATGCTCCGGTTGTCACCCAAGTATGCCAGAAGAGCATATGTAACCCTGATGTATGGTGAATAACCCCTTGGATCGAATTCCAGGCCAGAGATGGTTGGGTTCTCAAACTCCGAGATGGCCGGAATGATGGACTCGATGAATGCAAGACTAGGGTCTGGTGGATCTGACGGAAGCGAGTTAATCATTGTGTTGAATTCGCCTGGTGTAGGGAAGACGTCTGCAAGTGGGGTGATATCAATGCCTTTCGGCTTATGACCTGGAAGCGTTAGAATATCTTCTGGTCTACAAACAGTTTAGAAATGCAACAAACATGGTAAGGCGCACTGACCGCGTGTAGGTAGAGCAATCTCGAAGAAGCTCTTTCAACTTCTCCTTAATTATTCCGCTCAGGACGCCCTGTAGTCCAATATCTGCCTTTGAAACCCAGAGATTCCAAATCCCTCGTGCGGTATCGATTATAGGTGTTTCCAATGTGGGAAATGTTACTGGTAGTAGATATCCTACGATGAAAACATTTTGGAGAACAGATGCCAGTGAGTCACTGGTAAGTTCATAGTTCTTGCTGAGCATGATGCGCGTGAACTCTATAACAGTGGCTAGCCTAGTGAACGGCGCATTCGTTGTGTACAGAATATCGTCTACAGTGGACGATAACGATGATACGAGCGTCTGGAACAAAATATCTTGCCCGTTCTCCGAGAGGAAAAAGTCTATTTAACAGTCAATTAAGAACACCAATAGCAAAGGAGGACTCACTTTGTGCTTGGATGAGCCTCTTTACTAAATCGCTGCGATAAGTCGACACATCTTCGTTTAGCACCTCAATAAACAAGTGCTCTATGACACCATCTAACTCGCCATCCTCGGGCCGTAAATATTTGGGACATATGTCGGCGCCAATCACGTCCAGCAGTGACGACAACATGTCGATCTGTTGGGAAACATCGACCAGTAAAACATGCCATAGCTCCACACAAAGATCCTCGTCATTCCGACGAGACATGAACGCAGAGATTGCCTGAGGAGAAGCTTGCAGAATGCGGAGCGCATTGTTAATGAACATGTTATCCACTCTCTGCCAACAATTAAGAATTGTACTTCTACAAAGGAGGGAAGGATTACACACCACAGTGAAGTCGGTATGCTGGAATAGATGAGATCCAAACGTTTCCATTAGCGTGATCACCACGCTGATGTTCTTCGAAATTCCAGCACTGGTCACATCGGAAGCAAGGACCGTCTCGCACTTCTCAACAGTTTCCTGCACATATTTGCTTATGAGAGTGCGTGTAACCTCTGCAGGAAGGTCCTTCGTTTCAAAAGTGTCCACGAACATCCGAAGCACCGTAGGTGAAAGAGAGAGAGACCCGTCTTCTTGAGAAAGAATCGCACTCGAGACGGTATCCCAGGCAGTTTTGAAAAGATCTGCGAAGGAGACGGGATTAGATCAAAATGGTGGTGGACGTAACACACTCACCAATATTCATGCGATACAGAGATAGTAAGGAACTGGCCATCAACTTCCCCACATCATTCTCGTCAGTTCTTAGGCGCCTTGCTTTAAGCTCTTCCCAAATGCGCGTGAATTGAGATCTGACAAGCTCATCTGCCACGTCTTGTAGACGCGCGTTATTTGGCACTAGGCCATCTGAGACAGACCCGGATAATGCTCCATGGTCCTGGGATCCACTCAACAGTCTTCTCAAGAAGAACACCAAACATTCCAGGAGGGACGAAAGGAATGAGGCAGAAGGTACCTTTCTCTCTAAAGAACTCAGAGCATGACCGTCGATCGCTGCCCAGAACGAAGTGAGAAATCGTCGAGGGGCATCCCCGTCCTAGAGGAAGCCGCGATCACCTGCTAGACAGATTACTAATCGCAACATGTTGCAGTAAGGAACATACGGAGGAGGGAATTGTCGACAAAACAACAAGGACCGTAGGATACCCATCGACGGGTGATCCAGCACACCCAAGTTCAAGGAATTGAAGAAATTCGCAATATGCCTCAGAAGAATGTTCCTTGCGAGTGGAAGATATTTTAGTCTCGAGCTCCTCGTTATCCGAATCCGAATCGTCACCATCCTCGTGTTTATCTGCGTCATATGCCCCTTCAAGAATCCACGCATTTGGGAACTCTGTGGAACCAAAAAGTTAGGAATGTTTGATGCCAAGACTATTAAAATTGGTTTACCTTTGAGAAAAACTAAGACCGGCTGGAACAAAACATTTCTAACTCCTGAGTCCGTCTCGACCCATGCAGAACGGAGTAAAACAACGCTCAGTATAGGAATAAGTGGCTCAATGGCACCTGTATAATTCTCAGCGCATTGAACAAAAGAAATAGTTCCCAGATCACCTTTGTAACGTTGTAGCAGCACGGACAATAATGCCCATGTGGCCTGACGTACTTGGGGTTGCCCATGCCCAAGACCATGGATTTCAGGGTCCGGAATCCAAGGCGCATGCTCACCGCAATATAACGACGTCCAAAACAGTGGGTTAGATAGAAATCTAGATAGATCATCTAGAGACGTAATCTTTGAGGCAAGGCGAGCGTCTACAGAACTATGAGGAGAACTATGAGCATTGCTTTGACCTAACTTACCAAAGAGCCAGCGGAAAGCGCCCAGTGCACCAAAACGAAGTCGAGCATTTCTATCAAGATCACTCTCTTCATCTGCCTTGTTAGATTCTAGTTCTTCACTAGGGGCTGCCGGAATGAATCTTCCGCCGGGCTTCTTGATGCCCGGAGTGGGAGGTGCAACTGGTGCAGCAGGGTTGAGGTAAAGATGAACTCCCGAAGGATCCAAAAGAGTTCTTTGAAGAAATTCCATGATGGAGGCCAGCATTTCGAAGTTTACTGGTGTTTCTCCGTCTACACCTGGAGAGGTGATACTAGACCAGGACTTCTGTCCCATCAGAGATACCTGACGGTCAACATCGTGGGCGAGCATGCACCATGTACCCATAAGAGCTTCAATTTGCTCAGATGTTGCAGTATCTCTCAAAAAGAAGATAGCGGCATCCCGGACAGCTGGGATGCGTAGATACGAGAAATGGAGTGCAGCAGCCAAGAGGCGGATCCGGCGGACAGGATGTGTGAAGAATACAGGAGCCCTATGAAACTAGATATAATTAACGTCAAGATATGATTATGATTGCAAAACGACACACCCAAACTGGTAGCATCGTGACAAGTGCATCGCATTCCATGCTTTCATCTCCCTTCTTTGAGCTTTCATCGATCCATTTTGATTGAAGTTCTTCTAGTGCCCGCCCCTTCGTGACTGGATCCTTCTTTCCCAAGGATCGAAGAATGATTACAAGTTCCGGAGGAAGTCTATGTATAAGGCCGAGAGTATCCAATGGATCTGGCTGCGGTGGAGCCGGCTTAGAGGGAGGAATGTAGACCTTCTTCCGCGGTTCTTTTTTCTGCCCTTTCTGTTTCTTCTGTTTCGCGACGACAGGGACTTCCAGAGGGGGTACACCTACAGCTGCCTTGCGAGCATTCTTCTTCCGTGTACCCGAAGTCGCTGAGGACTTCGTATTTTTCGGCATGGTAAGCTATTTACAAGTTAATAAGAGCTGCGAGATACAGCGTGCACCGCTGAGCAATTGCGATTACTAAGTGATGGGGCTGAGGGTATGTGACTGGTGGTTGTTTGTACTTGTTGAATCCTAAAGCCCTTGATTTCCTTTTTAGAAAAATAGCCAAAGTGCGGTTCTTAAAAACTTCCTTCCTCTTACCATTAATTCGTCACGTCGTGATCTACCTCATTTTTGAGGCTTACAGGTCGTACATGACGTGCAGTCTGCTTACTCGAGCAACGACAGCTTCAAGTAGAGCATGCTTTCATTCACATCCCTTTCAGAGCCAAAGTAATAGGTTTGCGACATTCAGAGTAAAACGTGCAGGTATAACCATCCGATCTCTAGCCAGATGCAACTGCAATAACTGTGACTTCTCAGGCATTTCCATTCCTCGTGTTCGTTCACAGAAGTATGAATCTACTGCAACAGCGTCAGCAGTTGCTCCTTCTGTCGCTCTGCAAGAAAACATCGCAAGTGCTCCAGCACCCACAGGTGTCCCGGCGGGTAACCTTCTTCTCGAACAACCATCATGGGAATCGATTAAGCAAATGATATCCTACCCGACACTCCGTGCTATTATTGAGAAGCCTTACCAGTTCAAAACAATGACCCCCGTTCAAGCTGAAGTTGCAAAGCTTCTCCCAGGGCTTGCTCTACCTCCTGACTCAACATCTAACGACATCCCGACACACCCGCGAGATCTTTTGGTCAAGGCAAAAACTGGTACTGGGAAGACCTTTGCATTCCTCATTCCGGCTATAGAGGCTCGCGTGAATGCCATCCACGCTTGGGGTAAGCAAGCGGTTCTCGATGCAGGCCTTGTTTCGGACAAGCATCTGGAGGGGCAAGCTAGGAGACAATTTACCAGGGAACACGTCGGCACCCTTATCATCAGCCCCACCCGAGAGCTCGCTACGCAGATTGCCAACACTGCTATCAAGTTGACCCACCATCACAAGGATTTTGAAGTTAGACTATTCTATGGCGGATCAAGCAAGCGAATACAGATGCGCGATTTCATGAAAGGGCGGAGGGATATTGTCGTAGCTACCCCCGGGCGACTTCGCGATTTGCTGCAGTCGGAGCCTGAAGTAGCGAAAGGTGTCAGCAAATGTAAAATGGTACGCCATCCTGCGAGTTTCAGTGTGATCCCCTTGCTTACCGATTTGTGGCTAGGTGATATTCGATGAGGCAGACATGCTTCTCGATATGGGCTTCCGGGATGACATTGATGCAATTATGAGTTATTTGCCGCCTAAATCTGAGAGGCAGACATTTCTCTTTTCAGCAACACTATCTCGGACCGTTCGCCAGGTCGCACAGACAGTTCTTGCTCAGGACCATAAATTTATTGACGTAGTTCCTGAAAGTGAATCTCCAGTTCATGCACACGTCCCCCAATATCACACTGTCCTCCCCACACCATCTCATCAGATCCCCCACCTTCTTCGTCTTCTTGCACACGACCAGCTTACAAACCCGGGCAAGAGCAAAGTCTTGTTGTTCCTCCCCACGACACGTATGACGCAGCTTTTCGCGACACTCACTCGCGAGCTTTCAAAAACAGTATTACCTGCTGGGGCACACACCAGGGTGTACGAGATTCACTCTAAGCGCACACAGGACTCACGCATAGCCGCCTCCGATGCTTTCCGCGCTGACAACTCTGGAGCATCGATTCTCGTCAGCTCCGACGTCTCCGCGCGAGGCGTGGACTATCCGGGGGTGACGCGGGTCATTCAGCTCGGCATCCCCGCTGCCACGGAACAGTACATCCATCGTGTCGGACGTACTGGCCGCCAAGGCTCTACAGTTGGACGTGGTGACCTGGTTCTTCTACCTTGGGAGATCGGCTTTTTGAGCTGGCAGCTTAACGAAGTTCCGCTAAAGCCAGTCACCTCAGACGAGCTCGCCCGCCAGGTCCAGGACCTTGCAGTTCACTATGATGCTGACCCTCAAGCGGTATTCAAGGGCGTACCAATCAAGCTACATGACGCTAGGGGTCGGCCAACGCGGGGCGGACCCAGGATGTATGACGCGCCGCTTTCACCACGCCTTTCCTCGGAAGAAATGAACAACAGCATCGCGGCGCTACTAAAACATATCGACGAAGAAGCCGTCAAGGAAACTTTCGCTTCCCTACTTGGCTATTATATTCCCAAGTCGCCCGAGTTGCGAGTTCAGAAGGGCAATATTCTGGCTGGATGTAGAAGTTGGGCAACGGAAGCATGCGGCCTACCTACGCCTCCATATGTCAGTGACGGCTTCCTGCAGAAGATGGGCCTTAACGACGGGCGCACGAAGCACTTTGGCAAATCACACCGAGACCCTAGGTCTTCTGGGAGACCTGTAAATTCATGGGAAGCAAGGGGCAAGCAGAACAACCGGTCTTTCGAGAACCCCAGAGGGAACTTCCGTCGGGATGAGCAGTTGGATAATAATGACCCTTCTGGCAACATCGATGAGTATCGTGGTGCACGTTATGGAAGGGAGAGGCCGGAGCCGCGCAGAGAGTGGGGTCGTGACAACGACCGTTCTGGCAGGCGTTGACGAGTATCGTGGCGCACGTTATGGAAGGGAGAAGCCCAAGTCACAGAGAGAGTGGGTGCATCCTAGTGACCCTTCTGGCAATACCGAAGAGTACCGCGGTTCACGCTATGGGAAGGAGACCAGACCACAGAGAGAGTGGTCGCGTGATGCTCCGCGCCGTGAGAACAGCTCACGTGGGTTTGGCAATCGGTGAGGAAGTACAATACTAATGTAGACCGCATACAATGCATTACTCGACGTTCGTTATTAGCCTACAACCACACTTATTAATGTCATCCATAGAGCATTCGCAACAGCATTGATTCCACATGTTATTTATGAGTGATATTATGCCATGTAGCTGTTTAGTCAGTTGGTGGTGTCATAGTTCCGACACCATTGGCAATTGGATGTTCCTGTGTACTTATCCTCAGCGCCTCTTCACCTAACCATCGAATGTTCGGGGTGAGGTGGGTGGAAGGATCTCAGTTGCTCCTGGATCTGTTCATCGAGATCAGATTGTCCACAAGATGCTGCAATGAAGCCTAAGAAGGGCGGTGAAGGATTGAGTGGTCTCGAGCACAATTCGGGATGGGCTTGTAAACCCATGAAAAATGGGTGATCTGCAATGATAAATCGCAACAGTCTTCAGATCGATTACGCATGACCATACCTTTGAGTTCAAGGATCTGCATTCTCTCCCCCTTTTCGTCCTTGCCCACAAATGTAAGACCGCTCTCCTGCAGACGCTGCACATGTTCCGGATTGACCTCGTATCGGTGTCGATGCCTTTCCCACATTTTTTCATTGCCACCATATAACTTGCGAGCCTTGGACCAAGTCTCGAAATTACGGTCAAAAACAGTGGGTCGAAGACCCAGACGCATTGTCCCACCCATATGAGTGCGTGAGATCTCAGGCATGAAAACGACAAAAGCATTCTGCGCGTCGGGAACGAACTCGGTCGATTGAGCATCTGCAGAAGATAAGAGAAGTAATGGCTAACAAGAAATGGAACGAACCTGGTATGCCGAGCACGCTACGTGCCCATTCTACCACAGCCATCTGGAAGCCCAAGCAGATTCCAAGAAAGGGATTTGCTGCTCTCGTGCCCATTTGATGGCAAGAATCATACCCTCCGTGCCGCGCTTCCCGAACCCACCTGGAACCAGAATACCGCTGTCCTAATCTGAGTACCGGACGATCTCCTAATCATATGTACGACCGTCACTTACCCAGCACCAACAACTGCTCGCCACGCATCGTGGTATTTAGCAGGATCAGACTCCTGCGTTGAAGACTCCAGGTCCGATGACTCAACCCACTACGCAACATCACTATAAGTCGTTTATTCTCGGGGGACCAACGCAACCAACCTGAATAGTGAGTTTCCTGCGAACGCGGAATGCAGAATGTTCAAGGGCTTTTATGACAGACATGTACGAGTCTTTCAAATCGGTGTACTTCCCAACAAGAACAATTTTGACCTCGTCGAAGAGGCGTTCTTGCCTGGACAATGGGAGATGAGAAGCGATAATAGAAGAAGAGAAGTGGCAGTACCCTTTTGTCACGCCTCTCCACTTCGCTTCCAAGGACAACCCTTTGGAAACCCACTCCTCCGTGATGTTCAAACCTTGCGAGATTGAGCCGCTTGCGGAGATACTCGATAATTCGTTGTGACTGCAAGAGTAGAGGGACGTGATAGACAGATGAGACATCATGGACACCTATCACCTGCTCTGACGCAACGTGACAGAACATTGAAATTTTGTCCTTGGTAGAGGATTCAAGGGGTTGGCGTCCCAATAACCGGCACGCGATCTCCGGACAACGTCAGGTGTGGCATTTGGAAATAATACGTCACTTACTAGGTCGGGCAGCAAACCGAGCCCACGCAGCGCATGGACAGTAGTCTGAGTTGGCTTCGTCTTCTGCTCACCATGCATGTCAGGGACAAGTGAAACATGAATTAATGCGAAGTTATCGTGTCCAACGCGAAACTGGAACTGGCGCATTGCCTCTATAAACGGCGCCGACTCGATGTCGCCGACAGTGCCGCCAAGCTACAAAAAAGTCAATATCACGACGGATAAGTATTACATGCTAGCTTTCACCTCCACGATACAGATATCGGGTTCCTCTCCCGATTCATCCACCGGCACTTTTGAAACACGTTGTATCCAATCTTGAATCGCATTCGTTACATGCGGCACGATCTAACCATAAAGGATTAAGTGAAGTACGTAACAATCGTCATAGACGTACCTGCACCGTTTTTCCAAGGTACTCCCCTCTCCGCTATTCACAATAATGAACTCTATTCAAAAGCTCAAGAAAAGATAAACTCACCTCCTTGTCAATAACTTCGCGATAAATTTTACCTGTAGTAATGTTATTGTCTTTGGATAGTGTGACATCCAGGTATCTTTCGTAATTCCCGAGGTCTAGATCCACCTCACCACCGTCATTCAGAACGTAGACTTCGCCTGACGGGCGAATCGAATCTTAGACGTTTGTGCAGGAAGTCTCACACTCGGATCTCACCATGTTCTGTCGGTCGCATAGTACCGGCATCTATATTCATATAAGGATCTATCTTGATAGCTGTGACTTTGAGGCCTGCAGTTTTTAAGAGTAGGCCTGTCGAGGAGGCTGGGGTGATAATAAACAACTAGGTACAGCGTCAAAAACGCTGTGTCGCACCGATAACACCCTTCCCAATCCCACTAACAACACCTCCAGAAACGAGGATATATTTTGTCATCGCTGCAACAATGGGAAGGTGGCAAGCAGATGAAAGAGCTCGCAAAAGAATACGAGCAGGATCCGTCGAAATTTTGGAGACGTGATCAACAAATAAGGCTATACATATACACTGCCACTATCTTATCACGCCCCTGAATGACATCGAACGTGTATGAGAAGATGATGAAACACTGTTACGATATTCCTCTAGTACATAGTACTGTATTGCCGCGATCAAATTTTGTGCCGTATGAGTTCGTGACATATCTCGTACTGGGTAATTACAGTGAGAGTACAGCAGTGACTCTTCCATTGAAGGAGTGATATTACGACAGAGATGCATAGGAAGAGAAGGACCCGGCGCTCACATAGTCAAAGGATGGAGGAAAGTTGATTGCGAGAGAAGAACGAAAAGAAAATGAGTGACTGTGTACTTATGTAAAATGAAGTCCTCACGCAGTGAGGAGGAACCAGCAAGCGTTGACAAGGACTTCTAGTACACGCCACTGCCAGTTGACACATGTGTGCGCTTCTGGAAGGACATGGGAATCATGTCTGCTCCTGCATCGGAGTTATCCACGACCTCAGCGTGATATTGTCGAACGCTAAGGATGAGGCGTGGTCCGAGTACAAACAGTTGCAAGACCGAGAGAATTTGACGAATGCCATCATAAATCTGATATCCCACGTCAAGTGAGTCCTGTAGAAGTGATAAATACAGGTCACCAAGCATCAGCGACAGAAGGGCGCACGAAGTACGGAGACAAATATCCAAAGTCTAAACAAGAAACAGCAACAAAGCTAACATGTACGAAACTTCAGTAAAGAAAGCTTAATAACCGCATTCAGACTACAAAGCGTACCTTGCAAAGTAAACCACGTGAGTTCTCATTAACACTGTAAAACAGTCCCCAACGACCCATCCCGTCGACGATCGTTGCAGTCCACGGAAGTGTTTTACAACAATCCAGACTGCAAGACACAGTGCGAGAATCTCCCATACAGTGGAGAGTATCCATGTCATGAGAAGAAGAATGACAGCGTCTGCCTCCGGGTCATTGCAATAGCACAGATAGGTACCGGAGAGGATGAGCTCCTCTGGTATTCATTTGATCAGCATAAATCTTCCGACCATAATTAAAGCTTACCCCCTACAGTATGCTTGTTTATCATTCCAATCATCACTCCACAGGCGATCGTGACAGTCGTGAAGGATACACTGAGAAATATAAGCATATTTCTTGATTTCTGATACATGGCATACAGCCGAGTGATCGTGATGGCTTGCATGGTGTACCAGTCAGGACGATATCAAGTATCGCAGCTGAATAGCTTACCACCTAGCATGGCATTCGCGATGCCACTCATCCAATTTAGTGTGAGGTACGTAACATTGCCTGAAAATCCCAGTCGGTGACGAATCTCGGAAGAGGATTGAATACTCCAAACAAACTCACAGCTGTTGCAGTCAGTATATCGAATCAACGAGCTTGTTTAGAATCTCGCTCACCCCTACAATAGGAGTGTAGTTAGTTAGATGGGAATGGCAAGCACAAATGCGTTAGAATACTCACTTCATCTGTCATCGAGACTGTCGGAAGAAATTCTATACGTCACTGATCAGAAGAAGCGCACGCGGTGTATGTGCGGAGACATACGCAGCATGTTGATTCTTATTGTGAGTAACGGCTTATTAGCACAGCGAAAACTTGTTAACCTTGCAAACGCACACAATGTATACTATTCCAATGTAGCGCACCTAGAATATTTTGAAATCAGCATGTCTTGCCAACCGCACATATAGCATAAGCTACGCACACCGATGTATAGAACCGTCATGAGGGACCAGTGATGTCTCTGCTGCGAATCAATTGCGTCCTTCTGACATGGGACTCTGCTCACCCAGACCAGTTCAAACTGTAATGATCATTCTTAGTGAGTCGATTGCCCCAGTAATGGCGTCAATTTACCTCTTGTCCGATTGTCAATGCTGAAATTATTATAAGGATATTCAAGTGGTTCTTTAACACTGCCTTACTTACCCCAATCGTATATCACCGCAGCAGAGGAGGCAACTGTGAAACCACAACTGAGACAACACCGACATCATCCGACAGGTTCTTCACAAACCTATATAATAGCTGGAATTGATATTGAAATTGATCAGTGGCCACAAAGAGGGAGCATTTGAGACTGCAGTCATATTTGAGGGATGATAAGTCACTGCCGTGAGTGAGTGGCAGACAAAGTAAAAGGTATGATGATGGAGTTCATGCTAGATATACCACCGCCCAGCGCCCCCATCGCTAAAAGGGCACAATAGAGATGAAAGTTCTTGATTGACCGTTGCCATCGTGGTATAATATTAAGCAGAACGGAGCAGTCACTCCAAGTGAGGCGGGTCCCTCGAGCCCCTCCGAGTCGATCGAATCAGGGTACAATTTGGGTTAGGTTGATTGTGGATCTATAAAGCAGTGTTTTCATGAGGGGAACGTTTGAACATCACAAAAACGACACGTTGATTGTGATTTCTAGAACTTGTTTCCAACGCCACTCTCGGGATGTTCTTGCATCACTGGCAGTCCAGGTATCCTTTTTCAGTAAAATCATACAGTCACTGATATAGCACAGATCAACAAGGGGCGATGCAACCTTTGGAAAAAGTATACCGTCCGAATAATTATCGATGAGGCCGGATCCGTTCTCTCTCTCCACTTCGGCCCGGGCTCCGGCAGCGTAATAGCTCATCCAAAGTCTCTCGAAAAAAGTCACATTGTGTCGGCACGACATCAGAAAAAAAATCAAGAATAACAAATGGGTACAATTGCAGCAAGCGGGTATCTCACCTGTCTCAACCACCTCCAGGTAAACCCCTCACACCCAACACCCTCCAATGCGCCCTGTTCCTCTTCACAAGTCCTCGGCGCCTGTCGTGTCGTACACACTTCCTCACTTCCCGCTTCGGTCACCATCAGGTTATTATACCATCAGAACAAAAAAAGATGTGGTAGGGATCCTGATAGGCGAAACGCATACGAGACGCACCGCATTTATGATACATCATGATCATGCTGGTCTATGAGTCATAGACCTAGCTCAAAATAGAAATGAGAAACCAGAAGCCTGGAAAGATACGACTTTGTGCGACTCCGCATCATGAGCAGTGCAGAAAGGAGTAGAATAGAGGTGCAGTAGTTTCATACTAGTTCCACGTTCCACCTGACACACGGAAAATATCCAAGGGGATCATGTCGCACGCTGTCTACAGAATTCTCCATTTAATGTGTTCCATAATTAGGTAAACACCCACCAAGCTCACGCAGCGGATAGACGAATCGCCTGGCACAGCAATGACAGAGATAATATTTGGTACAGTCGACCAGTGCAAGCACATTGTGGAGGAACGAATGACTCGGCTTTAAACTCCGAGTGTGTCCTAATCGAGTGAGAACCATTGCCGATTATGTAATCGCCGATCATAAAGTCTCGATTATCCCACATGCCCACGGCGTCTAAAAGTTCAACGTTCAAGCCCATCAACGGATCTAACGACCCTTCGAAGAGAGCAAGAGTGTGTCATTCCGGCGAGTGCTGATTTAGTACATGATGGAACCAGAAGACCAGCCAAGGTGAATGCTGCATAGAAACGTTGGCCAGCGTCAGGGTACAGAGGTTAAAACTTCGTACCATCACGGTTATCAACGTTTCAACCTGGTACCCAATCTGCTGTGATATGTAGTCAGTGCAAGAGTCCACATTCCACCGCCAGTCTGAGGACCTGATGTTCATTGATGATTACGGAACCAAGGGGACTCCATGTCACGGTATTCTTCGTTAGGCGTACACTTTCATTAATATTAGCAGAGCCATAGCCCTAAAACATGATTGGACTAACGAGTTATACTCGAAGTACTTGTGGACAGCCATAACGAGGTTGGCCGATGTGCCTCAGAGTTCCACGCCATGCCAAGGGCCTCAGCAGAACTGTTGAAGTCTCCGCAGGCCTGTAGTCGTTGCCGTGGAGGGGGATAACTTGGGTGTATGATAGCCCAGCATTCTCAGATGCGGCGAATATGGCACAAGGTTCAATTGAGATACTTACCAGAGATAAGTAGTCGAATTGTCCGAATAGTCTCAACTACAGCCATCATTCTCAGAAATGTCTAAAGTTCGCACATTTTTTTGTCAGTGTTTATTGTCCGCTGGGGCCTTGCCCTACGGTAGACAGTACTCGAAAAGTACATACCTGAACAGAGTCGTTGTCAGATGCGTCAAAACATTTAAAGAGAGCAGTGAAAGGAGTGATCCAGCCCACGCCTTGTCTACGCACGCGACCCCAGGTAAAAATGCCAAAGCCATCGTATGAATATCACGTAGTAAGTGGCCAACTGTGTTGGCCTGAAAGCCCTGGCTCCAGAGGGCTCGGACTCAAGCCAAGCCCCTGTAGAAGGCTTTGGCGTATGGTTCAAAATGTAGAAAACAGAGTACTTACATCGCAATCTCGCAATCCCATGGTGTAGCCATATCTCTGACCCGGACAGAATGAATCTCTGTTGGCAAAATTATCGCTCCCCTGAGTCATCTGTGTGCAATATGAGAACAGGATGTTGATTCGACCAGCTTGCAATTGACTGTTACAATACATTGGACAGATTGACCTGAGAAGGCATCTCCCATCCTAGTATCGCCCCAATCAGATTCTGTACAGCACGAGTTGCCATTTCTACTCGAGTTTCCAGTGTAGCGCTTGCAATATGAGGCACTATCACACATCTGCATACCAAATATTAGTACGGCTGAAAAAATAAAATCAGGTAAAGCTGGCACTGACCTCGGCTCTTTAACAAGAGGATGATCAATCGTGACATTAGGTTCCCCTTCAACAACATCCAATCCAGCTCCCCAGATCCATCCTTCTCTCAGAGCCTTCGCCAGAGCATCTGAATCAACTAACGTTCCGCGACTCGCGTTCACGAGGATGCTGGTCCATTTCATCTTCCTAAGCAGTGTCTCATTTACAATGTGATACGTTTCGCCCCCTCCAGGAGCAAGCACAAAGAGAACGTCACTTTCCCGCGCAAGTTCATCGATGTCTACCTTTGAGACTGCTTGAAGCTTGTGTTGTTTTGCGAGCGCAGCATCCCGAGCGTAATTTGGAAGTGAGGATGGGTTTGAGGAATACAAGCAGTGTGTGATCCCGAACGGAACCAGGCGCGCTAGCGTCGCTTGTGCAATTCGTCCAAAACCTAGAAAACCGATTTTCCTGGTGGGCGACGCGGTCGTGGTACTGAGTTGTGGTCCGCACAAGGCAAAAGGAGCCCATGAGAAATTTCCCCACTGACATTGATCTTTCGGCACAAAATTCCACCAAGAATACGAATCACTGACCTGGCCCCTTTGCACAAGGTCTACACCGGTGCCTCCATTTCGGCCAGCCATGAGAGCGAGCATGACCGATAGATCAGCAACTACGTGTCAAGATAAGCAGTTTGGACCGTTTGTTCGGTGTCCTGTCCCACCTGCATCTGTCAGGACGTCAGGAGTATATCCCACTTTTAGACCACGTCGTGCTGCTTCCTTGATGTCGATGTGTTCTGCGGGTTGAGGTTAAACCAAGCGCCGAGGGGATTTAGAACAGCAAACACACCATATCCAACGGACATTGTGGATACCACCTTCAAAGAAGATCCAGCTAGCAAACACTGCCGGTCAAAACTTAGCTAGAGGTATGCGTTGCATACGCACCCTTGTCCAGAAGCTCTGCATTAACCTAAGCAAGCCATCATCAACGGGTGTGTCATCAAACATTAAACAATGACTGTACTTTGTCCGTGAGCATGACAATCACCCCAGTCGCACCAGGTATATTCTCCATCAACCACGACCGTTCACAGGCGCTGTCCTGCGGCCACACAACCAACTACAACTGTAGTAAGCCTCACCTTTCTATACTAGTAACTGGAGATTAACTCACATCTAGCTCTGGTCTTGCCTCAAGAATGGACATGACATCGGGTCCCAGGTTGCGACATACGACAACTTTGGATCGTTGACTGTGTAGATGAGATGCGACAGACATCAGTCGCTGGGTGGGCGCAGAGAGAGTTACGATTGACCCTGATGAAGACATTTTAGCCTGCCGCTGATCCCTGCGGCTACTCCGATGAGCCTCTAGGTAAGTGGACGCAAAAGAAATATCGAAATCTGATCGAGCCACAAAAGCATACGCAGTGGGAAGTTAAAGTGTGTATCAACGCTTCAACTCGGTCCGTGCGGCTTGCCGTGGTCACCTGGTTCGTTCACGGGAAAGGATATCATAAAAGGACATCGTGATGTGGAAAAGTAGCAGAAAGGCATCAACAGCCTACTAGGCACTATATACAAATGACCTATTCAGCAATTGCACTTTCGCCCATATTGACATCAGCATCTTGGGTATCTTCCGACTGCTCGACCCCAATGCTCCCGGCGGGTCTCCAAACATTACCAATGGTCGCTTTCCACAGTCGCACACGACCATCATTTCCAGCGGAAGACAGGACGGTCCTGGGAAACTGCGTATTAACTATGCAGCTTATGATATTTGGAGAAAAAACAAACCCAGTGATGTTCCACTCAACACAGCCAACCGCCGATCTGCACAAATCTCATCAGGAACAAAGCCATAGGGGAGTGAGTATCGCACGTACTTGTGGTGATCGAAATCTGCTACTACATTTGCAGACCATTTAAGATCGCCGCCTTCTCCTTCGACGTCAGGTTCTTCCTCCGCAGGCTTAACTCGCCATATCCTAATATGTCCATCGCGACCTCCAGTAGCTATAAGGTGATATGATCGCCCACACGAGGGCGCCCATGCCACCGACGTGATTGCAAATGGTGTTGGAGTATCTCCGTCGCTTGCAAGTGAGGTTCCTGCCTCAGTGGTCAACCCCGCCGGCGAAGGAGATGGGTCTAAAGTAAGGAGAGTCACAGGTCGACGAGAGGAAGATAATTGTATAATCTGTGATTCAGAGTGAGCAACGTCACAAAAAATACAGTGTGGCAATACTTTGATGGCACCAGATATCCCACAGCCAGCCGCGATGATCTCCCCCCAATATCTATCCTTACACCATGATATGCACCATCCTCCATCTGCTTCTCGATTCCCCATTCCGGGTCGTCCCTGAGTGGCGGGGTTTTGCGTTTGTTGCAGGGCTTGAGCGACCAGGGTTGCAGATGCACCCTCAAGAGTTGCACTTGTTTGTGTTGGTGTCGCAAACGCCACGGAGTACGACGACGACAGTGATGAAGATGGGAGCGTTGAGACATCGACTTCTTCGGAAAGCTGCCATGTGGCTAGCGATGATTGTTCCAAGCACTCGTAGATGCGAACATGATTATCAGAAGAGACAGTTGCCTTGCAGAAGCTCTCATAAATCTCCAACTGAGATGAACGACTGACGTACCAACTTCAACCCAAAATGATGAGGGGCAAATTCGACTGAGCGGACAGTGCCCCTTGCATCAACCAATACAGCCCTTTCCACCCATCTTGAGGAACCGCCTGAAGTAGCCTGAGGAGACCCAGCACCAGCACCATTCGGTTGGGAATCAGCTGTCGATGCAAAGCTAGTTTGCTCCCAAATCTTGACCGTACGGTCGAAAGAGGCGGATGCAAGTATGGTCCCAAATTCTGGGTGAGCCCAGCTTAGTTTGGAGACGGTAGCGTCGTGAGCCTAGCATGAACTGGTTGATAAGCGCAAATACGCGTCTTCCAACATGCTCGCCTTCCAGTCATCTTCAACGTTCCAATTTCCATTACTCTCGTCTACTTGCCAAACTTTGATTCTTTAACATCATCGTAGGTCAACTTGTAGAAATACGTGTATGCAGTGAGGGAATACCATACCGCTGATCAAGACTGCAAGTAGCCAAGCGAAGCCCATAAAAATCATAAGCTACATCTGTCACAAGATCATTGTGCGCGCTCTGGATGAGACCAGTTTGTATCATAATTCTCCAAGCTTGATTTGGAAAACTGAATGGGACGAAGAATTTTGAATTACGCGTCGAGGCAGTAGCGATTGTGTATGGTTGTGAAGGTTTCAACTTCCAGGAAGGTTTAATGCAAAGCCTTTAAAATTAAACAACAACAAACATTGAAACAAACGTCTATACTATGCAGCTTTCCAAGTCATCCATTCAAGTTATGCATGCAGCATTCAAGTTGAAACATTGATCGTCAATGAATACGCGCGGTCACGGTACAGATACGTTTGTTAGTGGAGTGGGTTCTGCTATGGCGTATTCATGGGTCGGCACCTCGCTGACTATCAGCGTTGAATTACTAGACGATCCGGAATCAAGATAAAGCACTTGTGCTTTCCTGAATCACCAACATACTACTCTATATTCTCGAAGCGCGTGACGGTGTGCAATCGATTTTGAAATGGGAGGCCATCTTCCATATAGACTCCAACACAAAATCACCAACACCTCACCGGGCTCAGACTGTGCCATCAAGTGCCTCAGAACTTGAAATTGGAAAGGGGGAGTTGGTCGAAGAGGCTCAGTGCATCCTTAACCCAAAGGCCGGTGTGGTCTATTCGGAGCTTCCTCCTAGTATCTCCTTGCCACGGAGATTCCAGAGCAAATCTTCCGTACCCTTACCCCCCACCAGGCCAGATCCAAACTGTTTTACTTAAAACGTATGCCGCTCACCATCGTAGCTACCAGTGTTAACCAAATGTTCCATCACCCTTGTTTGTCCTGCCTTGTGGACCTACGTTGTCCCCTTGTTGCTCAGCTATGAGTGGACGAAGGAAATCACAGCAGGCTCCCTTGGCGCTCGACATATGTGACTGCAATTCTCGTGTTGATAGCATCAAGCTTGGAGGGAAACACCTCGCACACTCATCGTTTCTACAACTCTGCAATTTGTCGTTGGCTTTGTATCTGGTCCTGCCCCTCTTCTGGAACCCCTCATGCTCATGAACCATTCTTATGATGATCTGGTCGAATCTGAAACCCCAGCACTACACGAACCCATCCTGAGTGATGTGTAGCTTGATAGCATTATGGCCATGTGCAAAGACCTCACACACCTGGGCATGATGCTCATCAGCGAAAGCACTCAAACCAGGCTCTTCGATTTCATCCAGGAGTTGCCATCCTTGGCTAAAATTCATGGAACGTCTTGCTACGGCTTCCCTTTACGCCATAACCCTGAGCTCCGTGACTAGCATAAAGCTATCGGGTTACCCATCCACCTGCTCTGGTGCATTTTGTGACTCGGGGGTCGGCGCGGACTGGAACCCGAATCGGCACATGGTCTTCCACTATGCAGCATTACAGATGACACCCAACGAGGCAGCATCCACATACAGCGTACTTTGGCTTGACAGCGAATGATATGAAGTCCGGACATGCGACCATACAATAGATTTCCGGTCCAGGAGAAATGACATTTCGCCAGCAACTTATCGGACTGATGATACCCGCGCTGCCTTCCTTGAGCGTGCGCAATTCAACCCTTTCGGTAATAATAACAGCAATTCGGCCTAGCAATAACTTTTAAATCGAAGAGCTTTCGGAAGTCAATCTTGAAGAGCAGAGCAGCATGCATGGTGGCGTGAAGACGCCACTAAATCAATATTAATGATGAAGGTCTTCGAAGAATAGGCTTAAATCTGCCATCCTTGAAGCTGACTAAGTGTCAGTGTACATGAGAGTGATTTAAAGAGCCTGAAACAAGCATTTGTCGACTCGGTGACGGGTGGTTCTTGACTTTGTGTCCCGGGCTCTAAGAATACCGACGTTTTGGGCTGGGGGCCGTTCTTCCAGCTACCGGATGCAAATATATTTAATAGTGGAACAGGTATGAACGGACATCGCTTCTAGTAAACTGGGGGCCGGGGCCGAGGAAGTCCACGGGGCTATCATTAGGCTCGTCACCTGCTCAACCATTCACCGAGGAAATGCCCGCAGGTACCTGCGACTTCGGTAATCGCTGGACTTGCATTTCACGAACGTGTTCCCTGCATCTACCAATTATCTTTGAACCAACTGGAACCTGTAACGGCGAGGGTAGGCCAGAAAGTGCAAGTACATCATGAATGAGGATATGCGGTCTGAGACGGTGAGAAATGATGAAAATATACATGGGTAGTAGACGAGTATAAGTATGCATATGACTTACCAGGAGCAAATAAGGTGTAACGTATGTCCAATCAGTATATGCCAGCGGTGTTTCTAAGTAACTTCATCAAAAAAGTCACTATACCTTAAACCTCCGAAGACGCCTATAATCGGGATGAAGATGACAAGGCAAGTTCCGAGTTGTCCTTATGCTTATACCATGACATAAGTATATGATATAAGATCAGACGACATACTGGTATTTCGAGTCTCTCAAAGCCATGTCCACGCGAACAGAGGAACTCGCCAGGTTCAGGGAAATCGTTGCAACTGACGGATGGGATGCTACATGGTCAGTGTGGCCTGTATATCTGGATAGCTGGGAGATAGCTGACTGCTCCAACATTGTCTAGGAAAGAACAGGTGACACCATGGGAAGCGTGGGGTGGACGAGAGATCCAACCTCCTTTGCGGGATATTATCGAATCCGATAGGGTGGAATGGCCACGACAAGGTCAAGCGCTCGTCCCAGGCTGTGGAAGGGTATGGCTCTTTATCACGACAGCAAAAGTTGATATCTAAACCTCAGTGTTTCAGGGTAACGACGCGAGGTTCATCGCGGCCAGTCTAGGATTAAAAGTAACTGGCATCGATATATCTCCTACGGCTGTCGAGGCAGCCCAGCAAGAAACTCCCCACGAGAACGTGTCGTTCCGTGTTGGAGACTTTTTCGCGCCGACAGATGAGCAGTTCGACTTGATATACGATTACACGTTTCGTTTTTCGCAATTTTTCACTGTGCAGTCTCGTTCTGAACCTGCGATAGATTTTTCGTAGCCCTTCCCCCGTCGATGCGCCCAGAGTGGGGAAGACAGATGGCTAAGCTCGTCAAGACTGGCGGATTCCTGATTACCTTGGTATTCCCACTCGATCCGCAGGTGGACTTTGGACCGCCTTTTTTCGTACGGCCAAATCATTATGAAGAGGTCCTTGGATCTGTGTGGGAGAAAGTTATTGACGAGGTGCCCGCTGTGAGTTCAGCCACTCACATAGATCGGGAGAGGATTGTAGTTTGGAAACGCCTCTGAAGTCGTGGAAGGTATGTCGACAAGCCGCGAACATGGCTTGTTACACTCCATTTTGTAATAGTAAGATCCATCTATCCGAATGTCCAACTACACAATCGGAGTCGGACCGGGGCGTCCAGTGAGCAATCTAAATTGAAATATGTAAGTTTGGGATCATCCCTTAGCACAAATAGGAATTGAACCAATTGAGTAACTTGATAATAGATAATGCTACCCATTAAAGGTACGTATCATAATACTCATAAGTAGCTAAAGGGGGAGATCAGCGCAGAAGCGGATAATGCAGGTATGAATGGAACTGACCTGAGGGCCAATATTGATCAAGGATCTGACATTAAAATCGGTATATCACAGGATTGTCCGCTGTTCGGGCAATAGGACAAGAAAATCGTCAAGTGCAAACGGGCGGAAGGAAGTCAGGCACGGCTCAGTCGGCCCCGGTTGTGGGGAGAAGTAGGTTTCTGGCCCTCAAAGCTTTGTGTCCAACATCCAATCGTTTTGATAATGCGTATCACAGACGCAGGATGTAAAGAGAATACTGGTAGCTGAACAATGAGCATGCAGAACTATTTGTTTAATCCATATTTATTATCTTTTGGGGTCGAAGACCCTATGTCGGACATAACCCTTTTCGCGTATCTATCATATGCAGAACTGTTAATGAGGCATTAATAAATCACTTTTTACAGCGGATGATAAACGGGATGACGTTCCTCAAGCCCTGTCATTATTACACAAAGTGTGTTTAGGTAAAATACTCTACGCCAATTTCATGCAACGGATGCAACGAGCTTGTTGGTTTTAGGCGACATGGCCATCGAGACCAGGAGTGTGTCATTCCAGCTGTTGCCGCTGTAGGAAGGCACCTGAGACAGTACATAGTCTGTGGAGAAGGAGCCGGCCGCCCAGCCAACGTAGCCGAGGATAACTACAGATAACAAATGTCAACTTGTGTCAGAGCAGGGTAATGGGTGAAAACGTACCATCAGATTGAGCAGCTTGGTAGGTAATCTCTTGCAATACGTAAGTAACACAAGATTCTACATTCCCACCACCAGTCTCAGTATTGAAGGCCCGACGACCATTTGCACGGAGCCAGGTGGTCAGAGGATGCCAGGTGTCCTCAACGGCGTTGGTCACGCACTCAGTGTTGGTACCACTAAGCGATGTTAGTGGAGGCGTAGGCAAGAGAATGATTGTACTAACGAGCCGTCGGAGTCGAGGTACTTGTGGACGTCCATAATGAGGTTGGTGGTTGTGTTGTCAGGGTTCCGCACCGCAACAAGGGCATCAGCGGAACCACTGGAAACGAAAGTTTTCGCAGAAGTATAGTCGGTCCCGGGAAGGAGAATCATCTGGGTGGTAGCGCCGGCTTTGCTGAATGGCGAAGACATAATTTTTAATTAAGACACTATAGAGAGATAGTCAAACATGCTAACCGAATGGCTGTAACTGCACTCTTGTTCCCAAGAATCTTCAGTATCATCTGAGGCCTGTGAACAAGGAACACATACCTGAACTGTAATCGTGAAATAATATTGTCAGAGGGGAAACAGAAAACATTCATCAAGAGATATCATACCGGACTTTGCCCAGGTGCTGATATTCTACGTTCACGTAAGCATAGTCTGTTGTGTAACTTTGCTAGTGACTCACCGGGATATCATGAGGTTCGTTCATACTGATTGTCAATAAGTCAGCGATCTCTACTTGCAGCGGCTATCACATACACTCCAAAGATGACTTTCGTCTCCTTCTTCCAGTGCGAGGCAATGTTGGACCAGAGCTCAGCGAAGATTTCGTTGCTTGGACCGCCTTGACCGATAATCTATTATCGGATTGAGCATCATTGACAATGACAGAAGCACAGTCACTAACCTGCCCATTGTACCTGGCGTAATTATGGATATCAATCACACAGTGAGCGCCAGTGCTCAGACAGTCTGACACCAGCATATTATAGTTGGCAAAGTGAGTCTCATCCAAGACGCCAGTCATCTGGTCGTTAGTGAGGTACTGCCAGCCGACAGGGAGACGGAACACATTGTAGCCATCATGTTTGACAAAATGTTGCATTTGGCCCAAGCCATCAATACCTAGTGGGTATGTTAGAGTGGTGAGAGGGCTCTCCAAGATAAACCTTACCGGATAGTTGGTGGATAGGGGGAACAGCGTTTGAAGCAATGCAAGTGCCATCTGTACCACAACCGAAGTCTGTGGAACAGGAGTCTAGACATAACAAGTAATGGTAGCAGTATAGTGCTCACCAAAACCTGCAATATTCACACCTGCAAACTGGAGCAGCGCAGATGTCTCGGCATTAACGAGGATAGTTGCGGTGCTGAGAGCGGCAGCGACAAAGGGATACGAAAACTTGATGGCCATTTCACGCGAAAAAAGGGATCTGCTGAGTGGTTCATTCGATGATATGGCTGTCTTATGTATGGCTTAAAACGTTAATTTTGATATGCAAAATGCTTTGCCAGGAACAGACGCGCATGATGCGTTCTCAGTTATGGCCGAAGTTCGCGTGAATTCTGCATGAAACTATCGAGCTGAACCCTATGGTGATGAGAAGACTCATCTCTACATCATGAAAATATGCTGACCCCATGGTAATGAGAAGACTCATCTCTAAATCATGACGACAATCTACAGCGTAAGAGCAAAAACGGATATTTGCCGGCGGTCCCAAAGACTACCGCGATGAGAGACGAGTGGATTGACGGGATCACGTGAATATCATGCAAATCTATAGCCTATAGGTCTATGCTTTGGACATTCGCTTATTATACTCTAGATGCCATTGAATGAATAAATTGTTTCGGAAATGGCTAGCCACCTGCCGTGACCAATCGAGTCAACACCGAAGGGCTCATATATTCGCCGTTGGACACTGGCGAGGATAAGACAAAACTCCCGCTGCTCACTGGATAAAAGAATATTAGCACGAAGTCTCTAAATGGTTGTTTCAGGGTCGAACGTGCCTCGTTGTCTTGTCGCTTCGGTCAGTCCCGCGGGTTTGAGTCTGTTAAATGTCTGGGTTTCCTAAGGGATCGCATTTCGACTCTAACACACACAATTCTGCACGGGACTCCGATCAAGTTGTAGTCCTCCGATACGAGCCGATTGGCGCACGGCACTTACCATATAAATATATTGGAAAACTGTGTTGGCGATGTAGTTGTGCCTAGTCGGCAACTTGTGCGGGCCGGGCGTGCAGTTCAAATCTAGGCTGAAGATCGCTGGAGAACGACGTGAGTAAACGTTGTCAATATTGTGGTACTTTCGGTGGGTGGTCGGTCTGCTATATATTCCATATCGATCATCCACGACAGTACCGCTATCTGTCGATATTGCTGTCTTTATTACTCAGATGTATTGCTCTCCGGGTCGCCAATGCCACTATGGACGCTCCCATGGGGACAAAAATTGAGCGACGAGCGTGCTGGAATGTGTCTGTAGAAGTGCCACCTTTGAGTTAAAACCATCAGGTGTTGGTTTCGCGATTGAGAATGAGGCATAGAATTCAAGAGAGGATATGAAATTAGCCTAAGAGGTAGAAAGACTCAATACGACCGTAATCATCCCCCACATTGGTGCCTGGTGGGTAAGCACGGGGATCTGACTCCGCCAAACCACGCGCAGTGTGACCGCCCGCTTTGGATCCCGCGTACGGGTTCGCGAGTGAGCGCTGGGTATTAGGGTGCTGCGTTGATCTACCAAAGGAAACCAGAATTCTGAACCAAAACAACACGATGGGGTAAACAAAAGTGTGGTATTTATGTAAGCAAATGACATAAAATTATGGTCCGATCATGATGGGGAGAAGTAGGCATAGATGCATCTAGCCTCAATCCTTTGGAGTGGAACAACAAAATGTATCAAGAAACCTTCAGAGTAGTTTGTAACTAGCATCCCGTCGTTTGACTCAGGCTGTTCGGATGTCTGCGGCAGCGGAGGTACTTACATTGATCAGATTAGGATTGATGATCCGCATATATCGTATCACACACGTCGACGCAGGGTGTAAGGGAGTAAGTAATGACCATACAGAACTGTTACAATAATCATAAATCAATCACTTTACGCTGGCATGGTGATAGTAAACGAGATGACGTTTCTTGAACCAAGTCATTATTACAGGAAGTGTATCTAGGTGAAATACCCTATACTAATTTCATAAAACAGATGCAACGAGCATGTTGGTCATAGGCGACATAGCCATCGAGACCAAGAGTGTGTCATTCCAGCCGGTGCCGTTGTAGATGGGCACCTCAGACAAAACATAGTCTGTGGCGAAGGAACCAGCCGCCCAGCCAAGGTAGCCAAGGATGACTACAAAGTATACCAGTCGGCTTGTGCCAGGGCATGGTAATGAGTGAAAACGTACCATCAGATTGAGCAGCCTGGTAGGCAATCTGCTGCGATATGTAGCCAACACAAGAGTCTACATCCCCACCACCAGTCTCAGTATTGAGGGCCTGACGACCGTTTGCACGGAGCCAGGTGGTCAAAGGGTACCATGAGTCCTCAATGTTGTTGGTCACGCAAGGAGCGTGGGTACCGCTAAGTGGTATTAGCGTGGGCATTGGCAAGGAAATGATTGTACTAACGAGTTGTCGTAGTCGAGGTACTTGTGCACATCCATAATGAGGTTGGTAAATGTACCGTCAGGATTTGTTACCATGCCAAGGGCCTCAGCAGAACCACTGGAAACGAAAGTTTCCGCAGAAGTATAGTTGTTGCCGGGGAGGAGAATCATCTGGGTGGTAGCGCCGGCTTCCCTGAATGGCGAAAATATAATTTTCAATTAAGACACTATACAGAGATGGTCGAACATGCTGACCGGATGGCTGTAACTGCATACTTATTCCCCAGAAATCTCAGCATCATCTGTGGCCTGTGAACAAGGAGCACATACCTGAACTATAATCGTCAAATAATATCGTCAGAGGGGAGCAGAAAACATTCATCAAGAAGTATCATACCGGACTCTGCCCAAGTGGTGATATTCTAGGTTTAGAAATCTCAGCACGGTCTCTTGAAGAATTTTTCGAGACTCACCGGGATATCATGAGGTTCGTTCATACTGATTATCAATAAGTCAGTGGTCCGTAGATGCAGTGGCGATCACATACACCCCAAAGATGACGTTCGTCTCGTTCTTCCAGTACGAGGCAATATTGTACCATAGCTGAGCGAATACTTCGTTGCTTGGACCACCTTGACCGATAATCTATTATCCCATTGAGCATCATTAACAATGACAGAAGCGCGGTCACTAACCTCCCCATCGTACCTGGCATAATTGTGAATGTCAATTTCGCAGTGAGCGCCAGTGCTCAGGCAGTCGGACACCAGCATGTTATAGTTGGAAAACTGAGTTTCGTTCAAGACACTAGTCGACTGATTATACGTGAGGTATTGCCAGCCAACAGGAAGACGGAACACATTGTAGCCGTCATTATTGAAAAAATGTTGCATTTGACCCAAACCATCAACACCTATTAGATAAATATGTTAAAATATGTGAGGGTTTTCCAAGATAAACCTTACCAGATAGTTGGTAGACAGGGGGGACAGTCTCTGAGATAATGCAGGTGCCATCTGTACCACAACCGAAGTCTGTGAAACAGGAGTCTGGATATGACGAGTAACGGTGCAAGTATAGTACTCACCAAAACCTGCAATATTTACACCTGCAAACTGGAGCGGCGCAAATACCTGAGCGTTGACAGCGGCCGTCATGGTGCTGACCGTGACGACAAAGGAATACAGAAACGTGATGGCCATTTCACGAGAAAAAAGCATGGATGCGCTGAGTGGCTCATCCGATGAAAATGGCTGCCTTATGTATGAGCTAGAATGTTAAAAATATGTTGTGTAAAATGTTTCGCCAGGAACAGCCTGAGACAGTATCAGACACGCATCATGCGTTCTCGCCGGTTGTGGCCAAAGTTCGCACAAATTCTGCATGCAAGTACTGAACTAATGCTATGGTGAAGAGTTTCATCTGTAAATCATGATGACAGTACATCACGACGTAGAAGAAAGTATTGGCCTGCGGTCACCACCTCCAGACTCTTGAAGTACCGGGATGAAAGTCGACGCGATCACGTGAATATCATGCGAGCGGTAAAACGTCGCTTCATTGTCGGGAGTTGGCTGGGGCGGCCTCGGGGTAGTTAGATAGATCAAAGTGTGCCGGTGTCGGGTTATCCAGGCTTGCAGAGTTGATCTATCAAGTTGACATGGACTTACTAAGTGAACATACGGTCAAGCCAAATATCATGCTTATGTAAGCTACAGACATGGGTTCAGGGATGTGTCAGCAAATCAATCAGCGAGATGGACGTCGACCTACCCTACAGGCTTGAACTCATTTCTGATCTTTCAGGTAGCTCCGATATAGAACAGTGAGATTCATCTTACTGACCGATGTTTCACCGCAGGGCACGATGAACGTGTTTGGCAAGTCGCATGGAATCCCACCAAGCCTCTGCTAGCGTCATGTTCAGCGGACAAATCTGTGCGAACATACAGCTATCGATCATCCGACAACGGAAGTAAATCTCTGGCCTTTTCACACGTGAGCACTATTCCAACAGGACATACGAAAACCGTACGCAGTATTGCATGGGCACCATCGGGCAAAACACTTGCCACCGGATCATTTGATTCGAATGTCGGTATATGGGAGCGAGAGGATATCTCGGACTCCGAGGATACTGGGGAATCTGCGGGGGATTGGGAGTGTGTGACTTTGCTAGAGGGTCATGAAACGGAGTGCAAGAGCGTTGGGTATTCGAGCTCAGGAACGTTGCTAGCAAGTTGTAGCAGAGATAAAACTGTATGGATATGGGAGGGTGAGTATCTATTATTTTCACCTTACTGCAGTGCTGAATGATCCGATCCAATCAGTTAAACCTGATGCAGATTTTGAGTGTATGGGCGTACTCATGGAACATAGCCAGGACGTAAAATGCGTTGCATGGCACCCTTCCGAAGAGGTCAAATGCTTACCGTGGGAATAATGTGCATGACTGACTGGTATTCAGGACAGATACTTGCATCCGCTTCGTACGACGATACCATTAAGCTCTACATAGACGACCCTTCAGAAGACTGGTTTTGTTTCTCGACCCTCTCTGGTCACAAGTCGACCGTCTGGTCCCTTTCTTGGTCACCGCAAGGGAGTTATCTCGCTTCGTCTTCTGATGATCTTACGATCAGGATATGGAAGAGAGTAGAAGAACATAAGTGGAAATCTGTATTGGAGCTGGGAGGACATGAAAGGAGTATTTACTCAATCAGCTGGGGAGTTGGGAAGGGTGCGAGTGAGAATCTTGGATGGCTCGCGACCACTGGTGGTGATGGTAAAATCAATGTCTGGGAAATAACTGTATGTTTCACGCTCTTTCCTGGTGCATCGAGACTGACAAACCCTCTCAGGAAACGCAACACACCAAGGACCCTCTGAGTGCGAAACTACTTGCGAGAATATCTGGAGCTCACGATGTCAACGACGTCAATTCTGTCTCATGGTGCCCTCGCCTAGAACATCCAGATTTGTTGGCCACTGCTGGTGATGATGGCTTGGTCAAAGTATGGAGGGTAGTGCCGTCTTAGATTGTAACTATGTACAATGTCTCGTTTATGCAAAAAAGTTCGATCAATGTACATATTATGCGTGGACACGGACTTTGCGCGGACTGAGTAATTTACGTATACTATGTTCTATCTTGCCGAACCTCCCAAATGACATTATGACTCGATCAGTTGTGTCCACAGCCTAGATTTCTTTCAGCACATTTATCTTTTCATATCATCTTTCACCATGCCAATCCTTGGGCTGGCCCCCTCTATCGCTCCAATAAAACCCGTGCATTTTGATATCGAAAAAGTCGTTCGACCAAATATCCTCGCTCTCCATCCTTACCGATGTGCACGCGATGACTACCAAGAGGGAATCCTCCTCGATGCAAATGAAAACGCTCTCGGACACTCTATTCCCAGATCGTTCAACCAGATCCAGCAGGAGCTTTCATCGACACTAGACGCAGACTTAAACCGATACCCTGATCCCTCTCATGATGAGATAAAATCTCGCATTGCATCGCTCAGATCGCTGCCCGGGAAGGACCACGTCTTTCTTGGCGTCGGATCTGATGAGGTCATTGATCTCTTGATGCGAATTTGCGTTGTACCCGCAAATGAGAAGATTCTGATCACCCCGCCAACTTATGGAATGTATTCTGTTTGCGCGCAAGTGAATGATATCGGGCTAGTTCGTTGTAACCTCAATTTGAGTGGCAGCGGGGGAGAGGGCGGAGAGCACGGTCGATTCAGTTTGCTGATTGATAATGTGAGTGTTATATTTTGCGTGGTTTCTCAAGTGGCCAATGACTCGTAGATAAAAGCGGCGGTCCTGGCCGACCCTTCTATCAAGCTTATTTTTCTCTGCTCACCAGGGAACCCCACGGGTACTTTGATTAGTCTGGCAGCTATCAAAGCAATATTGGACTACGAGCCATTTAAAGGGATCGTCGTCGTCGATGAAGCGTATATCGACTTTGCCGGCGAGGGTGCCAGCGCCGTATCCCTAATCAAAGACTATGCTAATCTGTGCGTAATGCAAACTTTGAGCAAAAGCTTTGGCCTCGCTGCGATTAGGTGAGTACTTGTTCATCGGTACCTGTATTAATCATTAATGATTTCCTTCAGGCTCGGTATCGCCCTTGCACAGCCGCCATTAATTCAAGTGCTCACAAACACAAAAGCCCCGTATAATATCTCCACTCCGTCCGCTCAGTTGGCACTCGCTGCGCTAAGCCAGGAGGCAGTTCAAAGCATGCTTTTAAAATGTCAAACGCTCGTAGAGTCACGGAAACAGCTACAGAAGTCTCTCGAAAGTCTTTCTGCCCTCGGTGTAGGAGACGTCATTGGCGGCAATGATGCAAACTTCTTGGTGGTTCCCATCCTCAATAAAGAAACCAGACTTCCTGACAACGTTCGGGCAAATGCGCTTTATACGGAGCTCGCCGAGAACAAAGGGGTTGTAGTGAGGTTCAGAGGGAAAGAGGCTGGATGTGATGGATGCTTGAGGATCACTATTGGGACCTGCCGAGGAGAACGGGACCCTCCTTCGACAACTGCAGAGTGCTTTAAATGTCTATTAACTGCGCGAGGCTATGAATCCTATAGAGTCGACCTCTTCTGGAGGGGTTCACTTGCCAAATACAGACAGATTATTACGTGTCAGTACTTATTATTGACGTGGTACGCGGTATTTTGCCGGCGCCGCGATCTAAGGGCCTACGGCGCAGCGCTCACTGACTTGATCTATCTGGCCTTTTCATTTGCATGCTGAGGATTTTTATTTCCGTCAATTGCCCGTTAGCGCAACTCTCTGGTCGATATTATCAGCACGCTGGACTTCACTGTAATTTTCATCGGGTCACAACTAGAACTCGTCTAGAATGGCGAAGCAAAAGTCTCTTACTCCTCAGGAGATCTACCGAGCACGGAAAGCGCGAGAAGAACGAGAGAAGAGCGCGCTACTGCCGCCGGGATTGTTAAACCACGGCAATACCTGTTTCATGAACTCTGTGTTGCAGGGTGTGAGTTCTGTCTCATTGAACGATGAATATGTTCTGATGACTTGCTCTGTAGCTGATCGCCACACAACATCTATCTCATCTTGTCCTATTCCAGGATATCCCTCCCGCAGTCCAGCTGCCTGCATCAATCCCAGTTGCATCCCACCGATCCCCTGAGTTGACAAATGGACATGGTCTAGCAGGGCATTATGAACGGCCTTGGACCCCCGGGTTACCCATTGGAGATCGGTTTGTGACGCTCTTGCGGCAGGCGTGGGCCATGCAAGATGACCGGCAAAGAAACTACTTGAAGCCAAAGTAAGCGTTGGACCGGTGAAGCAGAATCATCACTCATCGCTTGATGTCAGAGAACTTTTAGCATCCGTTGGCCAGAAATACGACCAATATCTAGACTTTCGGCAGCAAGATGCGCACGAATTTCTCAGACATCTACTTGATGCAATGCAGATGGAGGAGGTTGACGTGAGTGACAGTAAGATTATATCACATGTTCACTTGTTGACATATCGTAGATCATCAAAAAGCGACAACCTTCTATCAAGCGCAAAAAGAGAAAACGCTCTCTTGCGAAGGCACATGCGTCGCCGAACACTGACACTCATGATCGTTTGCATATTGGTCAATCACCCCTAGGACAAGCCGCCAGCGCACCAGATCCTGATCCATCTCCCCCAGCAGAAGAGACGTTAGCGCCGTTTGTTGACATGCTTTTCGGGGGTAAGTTGGCAAGCATTCTGGTGTGTCAGGCTTGCAAACACGTTTCCCATACATACGAGGACTTCAACGACCTCAGCTTAAGTATCAAGGCCGAGGACTATGCTCGCGAACGTAAGCGGGACAAGCTAAAGCAGCTCGCCAAGAAACTGCGCAATATATCCGGAACGGCGCTCAGCGTCATTCCTGTCCAGCGTTCTTCTTCAGTCCCGGCTACACCACATAGAGATTCGACATTGGATAACAGAGAGGTTGTAGATCCTCATAGACGACGTAGCATCGACTTGGCAGATGTCGAGGTGGCTGCTGTGGTGGATAAGCATGCGGACCACGAGACTAACAACGAAACTACTACCGGAACAGATCCATCTCCCCCCCAACCTGAACTACATCTCGAACATCATCCTGACACTACCCTTCATCACCCACCGGAATCTGACAATTCGCCTGCTGCAACTCCTGACTTGCGTATCAACGGGACTCCAGAAGCTGAAACCCCACACAAGGGACGGGAACATGTAGAGATCAGCGAACCTTCTTTAGGTCATGGTCGCGAGAAAAGGGAGAAGTCGGAAAGCTGGACAAAGCTTGGGCGAAGAATTAGTGTATCAGTTGGGCTCACCAAGCAATCCAGGGATGATCGACGTCGCTCGAAAGAAGAGAAGAAAGCCAAAAATGACGCTTCGCATCAGCGTAACGCAAAGGACGACGATTTATACCCTCCATCTCCATCTCTTCACACTACAGTACCAACCGTCCAACCTATCGACTCTCCTGACGTGAACGTTGAACGAGAGCCGACATCTCTTAGTGCTGTTAACGACCTGTTGCAGGCGCAGCTAGCGGCCGTTAAGCGGTCGTGGTCGCCAGTGCAAAAGTCGTCTCCTTCACCTTCAGTCTCTTCCACACCCCGCTTTCCTCTCATCCCCCGCCAACCTGTTCCCTCCATCACAAGCAAACGTTCAAAAGCTCCCAGACCCCCGAAAATGAGTACTGAAGAGGCAGCTTATCTCCGCGACATCCTGGCCGATATCAATCCAGGAGGAGCTGCAAATCCATTTTCTATCTTCAAGCAGACGAAGGACCACTCTAGTGCGGGCCCTTCTACCGCTCAAAGTATATTTTTGAAAATCCCTCAGCTTGGTGGTTTGGAAGAATGTCTGAGATTATTTACCTCGGTCGAGGTTCTCGACGGAGAGAACATGGTCAAGTGTCATCGGTGTTGGAAGATCGCCAATGGCCTCTACGAACCTAGGTCGCGTGGCCAGAATCATGAGTCTGATTCCTGCACTGACAGCGACGATGAAAAAGAGAGCTCAGATGATGAAGATCAGCCCATCCATACGCGACACACCAATGGGAGCGCACATCACACACCAATGCCAAATCGTTTTTCCGATCGTCCCAGGTTGTCAATCTCTCCCTCAAGTTCTGCTACTTCCTTGTATGATACCCCCGATAGCCATGATACCCTCAGATCATCCTCCGGTGACACAACCCTTGATACCTCTAGTGATTCACATGCCATCAAATCTCTACCACCCACCTTGGAGCTGACGAGCGATGATCATTTACCCTCTACATCAACGCCTCGTCCTGCAGCATTCGGTGGTCTTCCTATTCCATTAATATCTACTACCGCTCCGGAGTCGCCGATGTCCATTAAGACAGCCAGGCCCTTTACGATGGGGTTGCCGACCAACACATCCCAGGCTTCTTTGCACGCTCCCACAGCAAAGCACGACAAGGAGAAACACCCTGCTAACACAATGGATAGCGAAGGCTGTTCTGACGAGGAAAGTGGGGCGTCTGCTAATTTATCTGCTTACTCGGATGTTTCTTCTACTGCTGTATCACCGGCAGTATCGCCCAATGTTTCCCAAGAGAACCTCGCAGTCTCTCCAACACCTCGCGCGCCACCACAACAACGTTCAAAGATTCCTGATTCTACGGGTATCCCTCCGTCCAAGAAAGTGATCATGCGAGCTGCATATAAACGCTATCTCATTGCCACACCCCCGCCAGTCCTTGTCATTCATCTGAAACGCTTCCAGCAAATGTCAAAAGTTCCCATCATGTCTTTTTCCTCCACTTTTAAGAAGCTCGAAGATTACATATCTTTCCCAGAATACCTCGACATTGCGCCCTACTTGGCACCCAAACGAGAACAGTATGCGGATGCCAAGCCAGGGCATGTTCGAGGTCGGAGCAAACGTCCCGAGCGGTGCATGTATAGGTTATATGCCGTAGTCGTTCATATCGGGAACATGGTGAGAACTGCATCGATCGAGGAAGTCTACATCTCATTACTGAATCCGTAGCTTGGCGGTCACTATATCGCATACACTGCCCTCCCCACGAAGGAAGATGAACAGACGACGTTATCGGTAACTGGATCCGAGAGCTCGGTTCATGCAGATCGACCACATCGCGACTGGGCGTATATCAGTGATACCACTGTGCGACTATCCTCTTTGGACGAGGTCTTAAAAAGCAAGGCATACATCTGCATGTACGAGAGGATATGAATTGGACTTGGCATCTTTCGTTCACTAGTGTGTTCCCGCTGTCAGCATCTCGCTACCTGGTAATGAATTGTGCTGTAACATCCCAGGCACAGGTGCTGCAGCTGGTTTTTCGCGTATCTTTATCCTTTTTGCTTATCAGAAGCACAGGTGCAATCTCTGTTTTATTTACACAGAATAGAGCTATATAGCTTGGACTTGTAAGCCGGAGGACTTTATTTATAGACGAGACTTATTATGTTTGATCTCTGTGTGTACGTTCACTCATTTGCTTTCAACAAGCAACTGAGAGCGCTCTCGAAGTGCTTTTGAGCAGTTCGCTTTTGGTTTGGCTCAGGTCTGAGTTTCTAAGTTAGTGGTGAGTCTGCGAGGAAGATCTCGTGTCTGAAATACTAGATTACCGCCTGTTACACGAGCTGCAAACCGAAGCTCCAGCAGAGCTGGGCAGAGAGGGTATGGACGATGTTGCCTGACCATTCAATCCTACAGTTACTGTCCACAACGGGAAGGGCTCCTGCGAGCGGGCCGATGCTTATGATGTTGGCAATGGTGAAGCGAACACTTCAACAAGACTTCGACGGAGGTGACACCAGCCGGGCCTTCCCCGGGCCGGTTGATCAGTTAGCATCAGTATTAAAATTTTTGCATTTCAAATTTTATATGGTGGGAAGGTGGTGCACCGTGCAGGAATAGCCGAGGATTAACTCGAGAGTTCGTTCGGCGTCCGTGCAATATTAATATTTCAGGTTAGTCCGAACAACATTAGGTTTGAGCTCCCACAGGAGGCTGTTCCCGCTAGTCAGTGACACTTGACGTGAGTGGTTCAGGGATGATGCGAACGTTCGCCTAGTACACTTGCAAATTTGCTGCTGGTCACTAATCACTCATGATGATCTCCATGAATCGGAACAACGGGATCATCAATGCAGGCTCGTAAAACGACCATGTACACCCAAGGCCAGGGCAGCCTTTGACGGCAAGACTTTCTTTGCCCACTCTGTCTTATCTTCGTCTGCAATATCGACCATGGCACCCCGAAACTCATTGTTGTCATCTTCTGATCTTTCATCAACAATCCTGTTTTGTACCATGAAGAGAAGTATGTCTCTCTTCGCATGATCACCTTATGTTGAGGCTGAAGCCTAAGCAATGCCGGGGTTACTAGTAAGTGTGCGAGCCTGAGAAGATGACTGATTGACATGGCATCTCAACAGGTGCCTTACATCTCATGTGAGACTATGCCAACCGGTCAGTCTTATGACATATATGCATAGCCCTGCAAGTTGTCATCACTGGCTAGATATGCCGTGGGCGATCCTGATCATCATATCATCTCAAAGACATGTACAAAGAATGCTTCCGCGTCACATATATGGCTGGCCTCCACGAGCTCCGGCTCTGTGTATAACACTCACCATTACCCTTGTCCTATCGGATAAATGGACTTCACTCAACTGGCCGGTGAGTTGAAAATAGCTATCATGTCGTGTTCTTCTGTTTATCATCGCTTGGAAGTTGCGGGGTCTCTATCCCACGGCATTGCTATAGTCTGTACCATCTTCAGGCTTGTTTACAGAGTTTGGACGCATCGCATCTGGTGGGAAGATGCATGGGCAGCAATTTCACTCATCTCAGACGGTAGAAGTTTCCTTGCACACTACTTTATCCAGTAAACCAACCACTGTTAACCCCAGTTGTCTGCCTGACATGCATTTGGGTCCCCTTGACAGATAGTCAGTATACTACTTGACTTTTCCCTCCAAGATTTGCCTAACATTTATATCAGTGCCATCCTGGGTCCTCGCAGTGGCTTTAACCTCCGTTTTGTGGTGCACATCACAGCTTACTCATCACGTACAGTCCTGACTGACTTATCCAGGGCAGCACGTATGAGTGTCATTTTTTGCATCATCAGAATCGCCAACCATTCAGACCGCAAGGTCCACATATGGATCACTCATCTTATTGCGGTATCATTTGCCTGCATGTGGGTCGCGCTGCTGATTCAGAAGGTCAACATATGCATATTCCATGCGTGCCAGATGTCCGAGCCTGTGGCAATCTCGCAACTGATCAGTCGGTATCTCTTTGTAATTCTATGGCTGTATGGTCCTCAAATTATTGGTTTCCACAGCGGACGTTATTTCGGATTCTTCTCTCGTCGCAGCGCCACTGCATCTCTTGAAAAATATAGGGCTCTCACGTAGCAGAAAAATATTGGTCCTGTCCTCATTCGGCGCATCGATTGTAATCACTGCCATCACCATCCCCCATTCTATAATCCTCTTCAGGCCCGTGACAGAAACTACGCTCATCTTCGCGCATGTCAAGGTGAGCAACTTCCATTCCTCGCATCCCTCAACAACATCTAACAGACGTTTAGGCTGCGGTCAGTCTTATCATATGTAACATCCTGGTGATCGTCACCTTCGCATATCGCGTATTGTCGAAAGACACATGTGATCTTGACCAGTCTTTCTCATCCCCCGGAATGTTCTCGAGTGTCATCGTGATGTTCCCCCTAAACACGTACACTAGAACATCATTCTATGGACAGGAGGGGACAACCTCGAAACAGATAATGACGGAGCAAACGAAGCCGAAGCCGGATGACGCAAGTATAGTGAGCGCCTGAAGAGGGCACTAACATTGAGGGATAGCTAGAAACATGAAGGATGGCAAGCAATGATCGATAGCGAGGGAAGTTGCCAATCATGATGGCAAGCGCGTTTTTTTCATCTGACTACCTGTACATATGTGTAATCGTGTAACTTAGCTAAGACTGTCGTCCCTTAACTGTAACGCCAAAAGCCAGTGATACTGAAAGCTTATGTTTCAGTATCGCGGACAGTGTTTATGTAGAATCTGGGAACTCTAGTAAGCCAGCGTGCTTACAAATCATTGTCTATCATGCATGATCATATATAAACCACAAACATCAAAACAACTTGCTATCGTCTTGCAAGGGTGTTTTTCTACGTGTAGCTCCTTTTTGCGCCATTAATGTTTCACAGGTCATGTAACTTTCTACACATCAAGATATAGGAGCCTGAAGCAATTTCTTATGTGCCCTCGACGTGGTCTCGGTGGTAAAAGCTTTTGACTACGTGCTCCAAATCTGTCACCTAGTAGTAGTCGTCGTCCACAAGAAAGAAATGCTCTTGGCCGAAGCTGCTATTGGCGAGAACGTTGCTCACCAAGACTTTACCTTGTTCCCAACAAGACCGTACTATCCGATTCAGGTGTGGGGAATGACATTTTGAGCATCGAAAGAAGCACTGAGAAGAGAATTTTGATTTTACCATAAAGCATAGCACTTGGGACCGGGGACCGTTTAGCACTTGAGCCCCAGGCGTTGTCCGGAGATTCCCTAAATGATCAAATTTCCAACAAGTTAAAGTACCGGGTCGCAGCAGCAGTCACATTCGCAATTTTGAAACTCGGTGATTGTGTAGTCTGGTGAGTCTGGTCTACACACAAACAAGAACGGCATATCCTTGTTATGACCTATGAGCGTTCCGCACTCCGCATGGTTTGTGAACGCCCGTAAGCATACAATCTGAGGCCCGCACGTCCAGAACGCGCTAGACTGCAAAAGTAGTCACTAGCTTTGGCGGAGCGCTAGCGATGATCTGTTGTGCAGTACCTTTGCCAGCTGTCGCTGCGGAAGACATCGTAGTGGTGAGGAGTGACATGAATCTCATATAATTGCAATTCAGGAGAGGGCTGAGGTCCGATGTGTTTTTGATATCGAGTCAAAAGCTCTTCAGTTTTATACACGGATATTCACATATCCTGTGCTCTGTGTTGGAACAGATGACAACGCTTCGTTGCACGATCTCTTTCAGCTGGCAAAGCGCCCAAAAGGTTAGGGACTGCTCTCTGGCATTTATAGCTGAGGTGAGCATACTATATGACTCGGCGTTAAGTATGTATGTTGCATATCAAAACGAAAAGATGATACCTTTGTTTCGAACTTGCGACCGCTAGATTGGCATGATTTAACCAGTGCTGCTGCCTGCACTGCTGTATGATGCTTTGTGAATAGTGATGCCGCAGGGGGTTCAGTCGAAAGTTAGTTCCTCGCGACCTCAGGTTAGTAGCCTGCAAGAAGTTAGCACAACGGAGTAAATGGGAGAAGGCATCGGAAGATGAGGATAGAGTTTTTGTCTTCAAGCGAACGGCTGAGGTGGAAATACGCTTCTTGCCTCTGTGCCATGGCCACCGTCTTTGAATCGTCTTCGAAATTCTCGTCGTAATCTTTTCATTCCCCATCCTCTCCTCTCCATTTGCTTCCATTGCACTCGGTTGTAGTAGCCTCACTCCCTTCAAATACGCACAAGGATCCAGATGACACCAGTCCTACTTGCAGCGAGGCGGTGGCCCACAATCTCTCTGTCTCAAGTGAGGCGTGCGTGCTCGCCTAAAACCTCTGCTCCAGCCTCGTCATAATATTTACCTCCAGTGTCTGTCTAGTACATTGATGACTATCTCGTCCCTTGATCACATCTAAGTGAATATCAAAAATGCAAACAAGATGGGACTGGACGTAGCTCAAGAAGAAAAGGGAAATAAACTTATACCTACGCAAGGGGAGTCGCGACCCAAGCAAAAACCTCTTGTCTCCCTTGCGCAATCTCACCCTTCTGACCCGAACTTGAGTACGCAACTCGAAGACGCTCCGTGGCCAGCTCATCTAGTAACTCCAGGTTCTTCGGTGCACTAGTATTCGATACAGACTTCAGGTTCGCATTTTGTGCTATCCGACGAGTACACTGTTTTTTTAAGAATTACATCGATGTTCAACTGAGCAAGCAGCCCACGCAAGAGACAAAAAACGCACGAGTTTCACGCCAAACCACGCTCGCACAGTGATCCCGAGAGGCGTGGATTCTTGCAAAAGTTGTTCTGAATCATCAGCGTCGGTCATGTCGACGACTGTGAGGAACATCTTGATGGCGAGGGAGAAGTCTTCGGAGGTGTAGGCTGTTTCAGCGGCTTGGAGAACGTAGAAGGGGTTCTGGGGTGTTAGGAGTAGAACATGTGAGAGCGCCTGGAAGGAGTGATCATATCTGTGCGAGCAAACAAAATGAATGAGATGTGTGATGGTATTATAGAATGGAGACGCACTGGTTACACGACGCGTAAATATCCGCGAGTTCTAGCCACCCTTCAACGTCCGTATAGAACGTGTCCAATAATTGCACGAGTTCATTCACAGCCTTTTCGACCTTTCCTATTCTCCTCAGGACCGATATTCGTCGCTTCCAGATCGCCTGTAGTGAGAGTAAGCGCACGAAAGACACGTATATGAAAGCACGCACGACATTGGCGGAATCAGCTTCAAGTATATCAGCGTAGTATTTAAGGGCTGTTTCTGGAGGCTCTGTAGCTTCCATTCGGATACCTATGAGACAGTCGACGCGTGGGGAGTTGGGGAATTTGTCGGCAATGAGCTGGAGGCATTGCTATAGAAATGAGGTTGAGCTTAGGGTGAGATAAGTACGCAGAAGGACACACATCTGCTATGTCGAGTCGTCCGACGTCTATTGAGGCCAATGCCAATTGTTCTAAGGATGTCCAGCCTGCAGGAATATCGGAATGACTTAAGTTCAAATAACAGGCGTGGACGACTACGAAATGGCTTGCCGTCGTCTCCCAACTTTTTAAAACTGCTTTTCTGAAGCACCAGAAGTCCATTGCGGAATATATCTTGCGAAGCGCGCGTGTTGCTGGCACGGTACGTAGCTAATCGTTCCAAGGCCGACTGTAAACTCATGAAGGGAAAGACCAATGTGTTACGTAAATTCTAGATTCGTTGTCGGTAGCTGAGTCAGATCCAGGAATTGAAGCGTGATTAAGTTAGACTCTGGCTCTGACGGCCCAACGATTATTTTTTTTGGCTTCAAGTGAGGCAGCCTGTGCCCAAGAATATGGTTCTGCCAGTTCTGCTCACAACACTAGTCCGCTGCCGGGGACGGTTCAACGGTTGTTGGTGGAAGTGACGTTCTCACGCCCAGAAACTCTCCATGGCTGAAGATAACTCCGCGCTTTGCGAAGAACGCATCGCTTCACTGATCAAGCGAACTCCTCTACCAACGCGCGGCAATAACAGACGTGGCACTTTGACGTTTTAACGACCGACACTTTTATTACAGGGTCGTGGTGACTGGCTTGATCACCTGGCCAGATTATTGTTAAGCTGGCTGATCCTTCAAGTTGTTTCAGAGAATGCTGAAATAGAGAGTGTATTATCAAGATCCTCGTGTTGTAGGCTAGCCGTCCCAGTCTAACCTATCTCGACAGGTACCGCCGTACCGGACCATAACCCGCGATGTCGGAGAGCCTGATTCTCATCGGATTCTACTTTATATCAGCGTTTACTCTGGTTCCATCCTCGGAGCGACCTGAATCTGATAGATCCTCATCACGTAACAGGCCGAGTGCGAGGTACTATAAGACGTTGGACACGCACGACTTATCAGACGCAAGTTCTACGCTGATTGGAGTTTAACCCCTATTTTATATTCCAGCATCACATTATGATGCTGGAAGCTCTCACTAGCACCAGGAGTGTTGACTATGGCGCAGGCGTCGTCACAGCCGTAGTGGTACTCGTCGTGTTATACAAGAAATTTTCGTTAGCGGGCAGGAAGGGCATCCCGCTTCCACCTGGACCTCCCGCCCGTTGGTTCTGGAGCAACGCTTTGCCTGCTGTGAAGTGAGTTTTGGCGGTGTTATACAAAATATTAGAGGTTGATGTAGATCGTCCACTCAGCATTGCCTATGCACTGACCAACTTGGTTCGAGAGTATGGACCGGTTGTGTCGTTCCGACAAGGTAGCCAAGTGATAATTGTTATTGGCAGCATAGAGGTAATCTGCCCATACCTTGAGCTTCCTCTGACAATGACCCGTTTACCAGGCAGCCACAGACATCATGGAGAAAGAAGGTGGATCACTGGTAGATCGACCTCGGTCCATTGCCGCGGGTGAGATTCTCTCAAATGGAATGAGTCTCACAATGGCTCGTTCTGGAGAACGCTTCCGGCGCCTCCGAAAGGCAATACATGCTCATTTACAGCCAAAGGCAGCAGAGGCATACCAAGATATGCAGCGCGAGAATGCGATGAATTTTATATTGGATGTGCTGAATGACCCGACGAACCACCAGAAGCACGCACAGCGGTACGTCACTACCAAGGCCTTTTGTGATCCTTTCATAGATTTGGTACCTCAAGGTATGCAGCATCAGTTGTTCTTAGGGTGACTTATGGGAAGTCTGCGCCCACTGCCAGCGCCGATCCCGAACTTGTCCGTGTCCGCAGAGTCGTTGAACATTTCCAGGTTACAGTTCGCCCAGGAGCTTATCTCGTCGATCGTGTGCCCCTTTTGCGCTACTTGCCTGGTTACGGAAAACAACTCTATGAGTGGCATCATGAGGAGCTCGAGTTATTTAGGCAGCAGCTAAGGCGCGTCGAGAGTGAAGTGGTGAGAGGCTCTCTGTTTGATAAACGTATGTGACTTATATCTTGTTGTATGCAGGATCAAAACAAAGCCGGCCCCTCTTTAACCAAGGCACTATTGGAAAACACCCAAAAGCACCAACTCTCTACAGATGAGATGTCTTATCTCGCCGGATCACTCTTTGGGGCGGGATCTGATACGGCAAGCCATGCAACTTATTTATTTCCGCGAACTTACTCCTGGTTCAGACCGCCATTGGAATTACCGCTACTGTTATGGCTGCGGCGTGCCACCCACTGGCTCAGGCAAAGGTACATGAAGAGCTCGATATGGTCATCGGGTCAGACAGAAGTAATGCCAAACCAAAGGGATACAACGGCTTTGATTTCTCAACTAATCTTCGTTGTATTAGTGCCGACATTTAATGATTCAAGCTCGCTCCCCCAATTGCACGCGTTCTTGTTGGAAGCTTTGAGATGGAGACCTATCGTTCGCATAGGTAAATTCGAATTTCGGTACGCTCCTGCACGATGTTGACATGTGCCTCAGGATTTCCCCACCGTGCAACCAAGGATATTTTGTGGGTCAGTGTCTTAATTTGTCGTAACCCACGTTCTAATTCTAGTTTATGTGCAATCAGCAAGGATACTGCATTCCCAAGGGTGCAACAGTCTACGGCTGCCATTGGTACGGTGTTGCTTCACGATGTACAATATCGTTTCGTTAAGCGCGTGTCTTCAGGACTCTTTCTCGCGATCCTATCGTCTTCCCAGATCCTGAAATATTCGATCCCCAGCGCTGGCTTGATTCAGAAGGCCGCCTTAAGGACAATAATATGAAGTTCATCACGTATGGCTTTGGTAGACGGTAAGTCGTGCCGACATCGGTTTTCTGACACTGATCAACGAAGTTCATTTGTCATTAAAAGTGTATGTCCTGGCCTACACCTCGCAAACCACTCGTTGTACATTTCCCTTGCACTTCTCTTGTGGTCTTTCCGCATTGTTCAACGACCCGACGCACCGATTAACACGCACGCTTTCAGTGACGTGGTCACTCCCCATGCAGCGCCATTTAAAATCGATGTCATTCCCCGGGTCAAGGTTGCGAAGCTGAGAGCGATGATGACGGATGGGTGTACGGATTAGAGTGTTTTAAAACTGCAGCTGCCTTTAAAACTAGCACATAATGATGAGTGCAAGAAGGGGCAAACACAACCACAGAATTCGCATTGTAGTTGTTGCTGAAAGTGCTGGTGAATACAGATGATTCGGACACAAAGTGAGGTGAGCACGCTCCATGATCAGCTCTTGATCAGCTGCACTTGCAGCTTCGCACACTTTGTGCACGTCAATACGTCGAGTTGATGAAGAGATAGAGAATACCCTGAGCAACAACCATGGATCACAACAAGACAACTTGAACCATGGTCTGAAGGCGGGCTTTTATACAGCAATAGAACTGAGTAGTAGTCCTGACCACGGTCGAATGATATCTTTGAAGAAAATTGCTTCAAAAAAGCAGTCACCCGCAAGACTTCAACACACTGGTGATAGCTCAACATGCTCGCTCTTTGGAATCAGTAGGAATCGGATGTATAATAAAGACCTAATATTCGATGGCATAATCAGTTGTACCACAATGCGACCGAGTCTGATTAGCGTACTCAGAAGATAATTGATTTGTTTGCATGAAAGATATCCTCCACAAAGTCATCAATTATATCATATCGACATCACCGTGTCAAGGACCCTGTATGGCTGGATTACGAGGAGATGAGAGACGCTACGGAAATCACTGGCATTCAAATAGTACCATTCTCCAGCGACAGAACAGCTATGGGTGCCGTGGTCAAGCAAGATCCTCACGAAGATGTACATACTGGCACAGCTTTCTGAATGGTGGTCCTGGGTCGTGGGAGGTAGGTGAGTGACTGGAATGGTAGAACAAAGAATATTGGCAACTTAGGAACAACGAAGGGGGTATGTATGACGACGGCGATCATGGTGATGCGACGACAGCGAGCACGTTGAGGGTGACAACGAGGACGCTGAGAATGACATCAGTTAGTGGGGAAATGTACGTATTTGCAAATAGAATAATACAACAAAAAAATCGTGTTAGTGAAAAACAGCCGCATCAGAGCTCCACAGTCAAGATCTAGCCGCCCGGGATTGGTGACCTGGGACCTGAACACATGGTCTGCCAGCCAGGGTCTGCCCAGGGCAGTGGCAACCCTTTTGTTCTATTGTCACACAAAGGGTGGTGTCAGTGATTGCGAATACATAAGAGACACTCAAGTTCAGGTTCGCAAAGAAAACGTAATCTGATCCACGGATCGGGCTTACACCGCCATCTCGCGCGCTCCGGAGGCGCTAGTACGACAATGTTCTTGTCGGCGGTCTTGCTTTCTGCCTCCGGTCAACGATGAGCATGATCAAGTCTGCTCTATATCATCAAGTTGCACCGAGATCTAGAGCTGCAAATAGGCGTTGCAGAGTCCTAGTGCAACTATCGGCGATCGCGTCGTACGATCAGTGCATACTCGCTGATAGCTCGCAGAAATAGCAAATATTGAACAGATTGATTTCGATGGATGTCGATAGGATCGGGTCATATGTGTACTGATGGCAAAACGCAAAAGCTTTCCGTCGACAATGTCAACCAATTGCATGTGCTCGATCTTGGCACTCAACTTGAAATTTTTAAAGTCCGCGACGAGCGATCAGATCGTTTGCGCCTAATTGATCACTATGCGTTTCACTTGACCTCGGTACAAAGCCAGCTGTACATTGGTATATATCTAATTGTCCTATTATAACTATGAACACCAGCTGCAGCAAGAGGTGTGGGATCGAGTAGTTCAAGACACTAACCTGTTGTAACTTGGGTACCCCCTACACCTACCGTGACAGCGTGATGACAGCGTGACCGATCATGTAATTTAGCCATATTAGGTAGTCGTTCATCGCAAAATGACAAGTTAAAACGGATCGATTCAACTCTCGCAAAGCAAAACAGACAGCTGCAGTGATATAATGGATGAAGACAAGTATGTAGGCGACTGGAATAGGCTCGTAAAGTAAGAAATCAAGCACTGAGTACAGAAACAGCAGTTCCAACGGTCGTTCGGGCCTTCTTTGATGGACGGGATGGACCAGCTTGTGCTCCAGCGCGTTTGGATCCACGAGAAACTAACAGAGGCACATTCTCCTTGCCGATTTCGCCCGGAGGAATGTAGGAGGGTTGCCAATGAGTCTTTGGGATGCGCGAAGCAGTCTGCTCCAGGTCTGTGAGCCTCATCTCCTTCCAAACGCTTGCGGGCAGTGGTACACCAGTTCTCTCTCTGTCCTGGGACTGCGTATTCCTTGTGCTCCCGGAAGACATGCTCGTGCATGTTGTAGCGCCACACGGCACTGACCGGGACACTGTAAGTCTTCCTTGTGTTCCTGCCAGGGACTGGAGGGAGAGTAGGATAGCAGAGCTCGCACTTCAGTGGGACGTTGCGGCATGGCTGATTCTTCGAGCCGACATCGGCAGACGCGTATCGGAACGAGTGCTGGTACGCACATTTGGTGTCCCAGGTTGTTGCGCCCTTTGCAGGTGTGGTGATAGTAATGGCACACTCTGGTTGCCCAGAATGCCCACAAAACCCGCATGGAAGTGTATTGCCGACCTTGTAGACAGTGTTTAGTGTAAAGTACAAATGAAATAATAATAAAAACATACCTGCTCTTTCAACATGACCTCCTCCGGTGTGTTACTCAGCGCGCGCAGGATGTGTTGACCCATATGATTTCGCATGTTCAGTACACTCGACTCGCACAGGGGACATACGGAGATACGATCCCCTGCAGACGCTCCAAGCAGATTACTTGCTTCCATGGATATCACCGCGGGAGTACCTGTAGATATAAACGTAGAATTAGAAACAGATTTACAATACAAACTCGAAAAACTCACCATCCGAGCGTCTGTAAGGAAATCTTGTCTCGTCGGAAGGAGTGACTACTGCGATTGACTTGAGCGGCACATTCATCTCCACAGCTTTCGCCCATAGCAAGTCACAAGCCACTTGCAGGGCGTCGCGTGAGATTTGCCATGTGCTCTGGCCCCCGTTCACTTGCAAGAACTCGTCCACATTGATGTCATTGCGAAGTCGAATGAACGTAGGGTCGGGGTTGACAGGCTCAACCAGAGAACCTGGGACTGTCACCACAACGACGCGATCTGTGGATTGTGCGGAACCCTGAATGAGTGAATGCGCTGTCACATATCCGCCATCCCATAAGAACACCTGCAAGACGTCAGGTGAAGGACGAGTAGAAACGATGCTGAGGAGTTGGCCGGTGATCTTCGCTGTGGTCCTCGGTGCTTTCATAACTCCTGTATTGATAGATGAGCGCGAAATACCGTCGAGACTTGCTGTAGTTGAACGAAGTACGCCAATGGAAAGTGTCTGAGCTGAACGAAGGATGGTAAGAAAGATATCTCCGACGAGAAATAAGTTCTGCTCAGTAATTCGACCTGCCGACATGTCAATACGCTTGTTGACCTTCGTATAGCCTGCACGGACACGCTCGAGTCGATTCAGCGATTTCGAAATGAAATCCTTGTTGATGACAAGACGGCAGACAGTCTGTTTGTGAATCCAGCGTCGGTTATACAACAGGTAGTCATCAGGAGAGATGCCTGGGCCCTGCGGCAATGGAGGGGACAGTGGATCTAGAGCGAGAGGCTGATTGGACTGAGCAGGCGGGGCATCAGTAGGCGAGTCATCGATTAAGGCCTCTTGAAATGTCAGCATGGCTTCTTCGTCGTCAATCTCTCCCTGCAACTCTCCAGGATCCGCGCTCTCGACATCATCCTGACCTAACACTGTCTCTAAGAATTGTGCTGTAGGTGATGTTTGAATGGGAGGGGGAAGTCTCGGTACTTGACTTGGGTCGCCGAGTTCATCGTCTGTGTTACTGATTCCGAGATACTTGTTGTGTCCGAAAGGACGAAGCATGTCAATGCCAGAGGTAGGAGTGAAGAGTGCTGAATATGCGTAATGAGTGTGATCGAGTTGTGACATTGTAAGGATCGAAAGTGCATCATCATGGCCTTTGCGCCATGACAATGGAAGATCACATCGACCGGAGATTATATCACCCTTCCAGATCTCGCGATTGATGTGATCCACTCCCTCGTGACGAGTGAGTTTCAACCGCCGATGACCTGGATCAAGCTCGGGATGACGCTTGAATACTCCATCGATATCTTTTGCAGCAGCGAGACGGTCGAGAGCCTGGGCATAGGAACAAGCCGAATTGTGTCCACCTATCATGCGAGTGCGCCCAAATAGAATCTCGAGGGGGTCGTCTCCAACGTCACCGAGGAAAAAAGGTGCGTATGGGTCCAGAGACTGTTGCTTCGCGAGGGAGAATACAGCGTTCTTGACCATTGTTTGTGTGTCGTAATAGAGTTGATATGACATGAATGAGCGGCGATGGGCATGGAAGAATGAGAAGGCAAGGTGTGAATAACGACTGAGGTGTTCGAATTGCTGGGCCAAAGAGAGATCGACGCGGATGAAAGGGATCAGGATGGACTCGAGGAGTTTACTGAGTAGATGAATTGATGCGACATCAGCGCGAGTGTCGATATCCAGGGAGAATGAGTCATTGGTGACATGAAGCTGAGTGTGAGAGAATTCGATGATAGCGAGCATAAGCTCAACTGCACGAGGGACGTCTTGAGGGTCATCGGGGTAAAGGAGTTTCGTCACCGCAGCTTCCTCGTATGCTGGCAACCAGACAAGATAGCGCGCGAGCATCATGGAATTGATGACGCGGCCATTATTGAGCACAATGCCCGCAGGTGACCTGATGAGTGTGCAGATACCTAGGTTTATATTTAATTAGTAGCATTCATCAACAGAAAAAAAACATAAACATACGCTTAAATATGTGCTTGAAGTCGAAATCAAGCGTCACTTCACCCGCACCTGTGAACAAATTGAGGCCCGGCATATTGATCAGCGTGCCATACAAAGGTGAGTCAGGAGGTAAAGGTGTCTTGACAAAAAGTTTGTGTCCGGCGGCACGTCGAGTTGCATCGCCATCTGTCGCAAAAGACCAGGCTGGTCCGACAGATGTCACCGCATTACTCGAGTTCCAACGCTCAACAGTTTGCGCAAGGATGCGCTCCATGTCTGAGGCGTCCTCCGTCTTGCAAGTGGGTGCTGCTAGGATAGGGTAAATCTCGTCTTCGCCGAAGCACGAGACACCGATGACAGTGAGCTCCTTTCCGAGATGGACGTGGCCTTCATGGAGCTTCTGCGCGATGCTCACGGCAGAGTCGTATGTACGTAGAACCGGGTCGATAACGTGCGAGTGCTTCCAACAAAGACCTCCGACTTTGTTGAACTTACGGAAATGAACCGCCATCTCCTCGAGTGCGATCTCATCGATCATAAAGCTGACACCCCGCAACGGCAATGAATCTGAGCGAGTGTCGACAACAATTGTTTGGATGTTCTCGTCAAATTGTTCGTTGCGTATGGGACCGATGGTGGGCATGAGAGAGGTGAATGTCGAATTAGCACGAAGAGTGCGGAGGGACGGGATGTTGAGTTTCTGATTCAGCGCAAAAAGCAACTGACGCCCCCCCAGTCTAAAGACCAGGGTTGCGATATCGAAGTCGTCGGCACCATATCCGCGTGGCCGGTACGTACCCTCAAGAGCATCCTCTAACTTGTTAACAACTTCTCTAATGCTGGCACCGTTTCGTAAGGCAATGTTGATCACTTGATGAATGCGAGGGATGTCGTTTTCAGAGATAGCCATCAAGAGGCGGTTGTAATCGTCGAGTTGAGTGAGGGCGTTCATATATCTGCGCGAGTCAGTTACAGGTCTATAGAGCATTAATTACATTGATACAGATGAATAGTAAATAAAACTTACCTGCAGCTTCAATTGGTTGAGTTGACCAGCGTGTTTTCTAACAGTATCTCGCATATGTGCGAGACCGAGATACTGATAGTTTGTGTGCGCCTTGGGACTACGCGCAATATCGATGAGACGATAGACATGCACATAGATCTCACCGCACTCTTCACAAGGGTAATCTTCCCATACAGTGAGATGTGTGCACAATTTCGATCGAGCACGCGGAAGTCGGGGAACTGTGATGTCGACGGTGAATGGGAGCCCGTCTGGTCCATCATGGTATCGTGCCCAAGGAAAGGACATGTAGAATGAGTGGAGGTCGTCAGGCCAGTTGATGGGAATTCCAGGACACACAGTGTACTGGTTAACAGAACGTATTATAGTCTGATAGGTGCTGTTGACAACGAGGTGATTGAGATAACAATCAGTTGGTATTACTAAAGAAATGCAACCGAAATGAATGCACCTTTTGTCATGGGAAGGCCCAGCCTGATTAGCCGATGTACTGGCTTTTTGAGATGTCGAATTTTGCTTTTTTGCAGCAGTCACTGCGCACTTCTTGCTTCCTCGGTGGTTAGTGAGTGACTTGAACTGACCAGGTGCCCATAGAGGTAGGCCTGTGTGGACACTGGTCTGGCACCAGTCTCCGCACTCAGGACAAAGAATTCTCCATTGATCCCCGAACTGATCCGATACTTGTAGCCGATTGGCCTTGAATAATACATACAGGGACTTAGGCGTATTGAGTTTAAATTGTGCCTCGATATCGATGTCGATATCCGAGACCGAGGCTGGAACCGAAGACGTATTTGATGATTGGCTGTCGGTCGAGGATTGTCGACTCAGAGAGCGAGAATTAAATGAGGTATAGTCAAGTATACAACGAGATGAGCCATGCAAATGATTGTCCGTGTGTGATGGTACTTCAAAATCTATAGTCGGAGTCTGCGAATGTCCAGATGATGTATTAGAATAATGTGAATGATGATTTGATCCGTAATGCGTCGTTTGATAGGAATCGTCCTCGAAGTCCGTGATATATGTCAGTGTTGTTGTCGTTATTACTTGAAGCAAACCATGAGTCGTAACGTGTAAATTGATGAGTCGTAGAATACATAATGAATGAGGTTTAAGAGAGAGAGATGCGAGTCGTTGACGAGACGCGTCGAATCGATATTGACGCGTCGTATTGATATTAATCACTCACGTGTTCTCGAAAATCACATCCAAGATCTGACATTTAGCAGGTACCGTCTTTACGTGCTCGTGTTTCATTAAAATCACTATCTAGATCTATTCTACAGTAGTAAAAACACCCCCTTTACGGTACTCGGCAAAACGATTTTACGATGATTTGAGACCGCTGGCGAGGAACTCAAAACGTGTCGCTCGTAACTTCATGTGGCTATGTATTAAGGTTTTTTTGCTTATCTAAAGTTGAGCACTGTGTTCGGGATTTTGCGAACGCACACCTCTTGAGCTGCAGAATATACAGTATAAGACAATATATGGTCCAAGTATTCCGATCAATATCCAGATTAGGAGTTGAAATAAGATAGTTATGCGTAATATCCGAGTCCGAAGCCATGTTCGCGGGAGCATACATGCCGTGTGTTATATTCGGCGAAGAAAATACACATGGATACATCGACATCGAGTGGTCATAGTTTACTGACCAACTCTCAGGAAGAAAATGTGACACTGGCCTATCATCAGTAAGATTCTCCGGGAAGAAGCATTACTACTAACTCACCAGGATGAACCGGGGTCGGGTATTGCATGGGAGAACCAGCGTTACTAGTAGTAGTACTAGTTGAAGTCGAAGCTGCCTGTTCTTCAAGAAGCGAACGGTAACCTGTGTCAAGCTGCCTAATATATCAGCAGCTGCTCTTCAGTCAGCAAACTCTTCGATCTCGGGAGTTTAATCTACCAACCTTTTATCAGGATATCGTGCCGTGTGTTGGGGTCCGCCTGTGTTATTTCTTTGATGATCTGTCGCAGTTGCGAAAAGTCTTCCGCCTCAGTCGAGCGGTAGAGCCGCTGCAGGAGCTTTTGCGACTCCTGCCAGTGTGCGCGTGTCTGCCAGCTGTAGACATGTTGCTTCACCGGGGAAGTGGATGACTGCTCGGCACTCTGATTGTAGTCCTTACTACTTATACATGCAGTGGGGCGTGTGACGGCATACACTATCGGGAAGCATCGAATAACGCTATCGACAATTAAATTTAGTCCCGTGCAGTCTCGCATGTACATCTAATCCTCAATCTTTCAAAATCCAAAATTATCCAGAGCAAGGTGAGCCGATCAGCCGGTGAGCCCGATTATTGGGAAATCCCGGCAAATGACTCCACAGCCTCTCTGCAGAGCTTCACAATAGGCGCTTATCAGGCGCCCGACTAAGTGCCGCGGATGAGAGCGCTAAAGCGAAGATCAAGACGATTCTTCAATCATTCCAATGATATACATCTCGGGCGTGAGGGATAATATCATATATGCAATATTAGAACAACTGAAAATCAGTATTTTGAAAAGATGACGGAAAATACGCATACCTCGCTAGTCCTGACTGAAACTACATGTCAATCACTGACTGCGGTTAGGCGACAAGAATCCACATGCTCATGACTTGTCCGCAGCAGAATTGTAACTCTTAGAATACAATTTTGAACCTTCGTAAAACGAGCGATGCACTGCCTGGCGAGCACAGGCTCTGCAGAATCTCGGTCAGGGGTACGGACGTCGCGTCCGGAATGCACAGCTATTACAGATATCCGCCAACTATAGCTTGAGCCTCCCGGCAATAAAGTACTGCACTCGGGGGTGCTTCGGTGGTGAGGTAGACTTTTCCTGAGTAGGAAGTGTGGTGCTGCTACCCAGCTCGGGACTGTGTATGTCTCGTCCGGGATGCACAGCTACCCACAGTTCTCCGTGAACTATGGCCAATCGATTTCCATGTAACTATTGATACAATTCGCTCGGGGTGCTTCGGTGATACAATGAATTTCTCCTACGCATAAGGTTGGCGCTGCTACCCATTCATTCATACGAAGGCAGTGAAAAACAACATTAAAAGACGCACGACCATAAATTTTCGCGCATCAGACAAATACACATGATACAGCATGGCGGGACCCGAATTCCACACGAATCGTTGGCGCCATAAATTTACGTGTCTTGTCAGTGTGAATAATGATGCTCCAAAATTCTTGTGGCAGCACTGCAACGACATATCCGGTTTAGCATAGACAGAAATCCTATCTTATCGCTGCTTCAAGTGAGAGATCAACGGGGCGACGGAAGCCTAATGATCTAATAAGACTCAGTTATTCCGGAATGAACGCAACTTACCGCCCTTTCCCAGTGACCCCGAGACGCTGACCATGACTAAATCCGAGCTTCTCCAGTAGTTCCCCAAAGCCATCTGGACGGAGTTGTAAATATTTGCATTCTCTTTGAGAGTCTCGCTCATCCTTCGAGCTTTTGAGTAAGTGTCCCAAGGTTGTGGCTCGAGGACGAAAACACCCCCAACTTTCAGACATCGATGAACTCGGGAGAAAAATTCTTGCAGTCCTTCGTCCTTGTTATTTAGATGAATCCATTTTGAGATAGAAAACCTATCATATCGGTGATGCCTTGTCCCCTCAAGAACAGCCATGACACGTACCCTAAAACGATATCGTATTGATCGTAATCCTCCGGTATTTCATCCTTCACCCAATCAACTGTTCGGAATGTGACATTGTGCGGGAAAGCACCGCATCCTCTGTCTGGGATGGGCAATGGGCCGTAGCTATGTTCGCACGATGCAGGGAAGTAATTGGGAGCACTACTGTCCGTAGTGGACGCATCACCGAGGAGTCGTTGTCGTTTTGGCGGAGGGCAACGCTCCTCATTGATATTTCCCACCTTCAGGAGACTGAAGGCTCCAGGCGGTGCGTCTTCTCTTCCAGGCAGCTCTGATGAGAGTGTCGTCAATATCAACTCCGATGACCTGATGTGCCCCCCTGGACTGTCCTGGTTCCCGAACTGAACAAATGGTGTCCTGAACCGCGTCAAAAGTAGCCTACCTATCTCACAAGTCACCCAGCCTTCATTGCATCCAACATCTAGAACTCGCTTACCCACGAAGAATTCAGTGGGGAGCAAAGCCAGTCGTGGATCTCGGATGAAAGGACGCTTGGAGTAATATCTATACAATTCTCCGTCAAGATACAAAACGAGGAGCTTTTTTAGACACCTACCATGATAGTTTCCATAAATCGGGACCGCTTGGCTACCCGCATGTACTGGCATAATCACTGCAGTGGTGTGCACTGAGTGTTGGTTTGTGCCGTTATAATTTACATAATGAACCGCTGGTGCTCAGTGTCCGACCCGGACGGAGAAGCCGGATGGTATGCCGAATATGTCAAAGGCACTAGTTCTACTACTAATTTACAGTGCACGATCGCAGCGCGGCATCGACATATGCACGTTAACTCTTATCGGGGGCCCATAACGAAAACTCGCCAGCATACCGGAATCTGGGTAGGCAAAAGAATCCAGAAATATTTCGGAGTTCAAGAACATGTTCAACAGCGATAATATTTCCATACAACAAGTCATTAAATTTTGTCCCGAGTCCATTGTAGTGGGGAGATCTGGCATAGGCCCTTGGGCGTGCTAGGATGGTCCTGACACAGGTCATAGGGAGGGCCACGGGTCCAGGTTTGGCCTTGGGTTCCCTTACGTGCCCGTTCCACCATGATTCGACGATCCAGTACTTACTTCTCAAAAGATGAGAAACAACTTTTCGACGACGAATTTAAAACCAGGGACGGTGGTGAAATTTTTTTAGACAGAAGAGCAGGCTTTGTCGCTAAGTGGACGCTATGACGGATTCAACATTGGGCAAGAATGGACTCGGCGGCATGGTTAAGTAGACACTACTTCAGGGGTGTGTGCACAGTATCATATAGTGTCATGCGGGACACTAGTAGGTATGCATCTGAAAAGTGGACGGATGCGTCTTCGCCATTTTGCCAAGTACGCAGGGTCGATTGGCAAAACAATGAAAACGTATCGTCGTATCACGCGAAATGAAGGATTGCGGCACACATCGAGCAAGACTTGAAATTTAAAATGGAAGGAAGTCGGACATTCAAATCTGCTGGTCTGTTCCCACCATCTAGTACTCCGAGTCTACCACCAACAACTGAGTCGTGCCCACCATGTGACCAGTCAATGGATGTTGACGCCTTGCGAGCGAACCATGAGCTTGCACAGATGTCGCTTATCGACCTTACTCGCTTCATCCATCTTACACACGTACTCAAGGACGAGCATCTGCCTGTCGCGGCCTCGCACAGTTCCTGTGAATATCGCTCCTACTTGCTACCGCCAGCGATCATAACCTTTCTCACTCAGTCGTTCGCCATATCATCCGAAGTAGTGCATCATCTATGGGCTGTCATGAAACATCTTACCTAGACATTGCCTAATGTTGCCTGGTTGGGCAGAATACCAGATGCGTTGGCCTTGTTCTATCACCCAATTAATGAAATGAAAAATGCACGTCGATGTGCTTTGTGCGAGCGTGGTATTGATGTCGATGATCCTTTGCTAGCGCACAATTCCGGATTGGTTGTCTGATCAAAGGGTTCATGGGGGCGAAAAGGTTGCCAATGAATGACCACAACCATAGGACTTCCTTTGCTGCGTGTGTAACATATTACAAGATGGCTCCACCTTCAATGACAAGAGACCTATCGTTGATGGAGGAACCGTCCTCATCACCCTCATTTATTGTTGTCGTAAAATGATACACTTCAGTGGCCCTGCAGGAATACAAGTCAAATATAATGTCTACTAGAAGCTACGAGGATGATCTATGAACAAATCAAATGGTAGAAATAATGAGGAGTTACGGAAAAGTATGATGCCAGTAGTGATGGCTCATTGTGGCTTCTTGGACCTCTTGATTTGTGTTGCGAGTCGTGACACGCTGTGCAGACAAGAGACTGCGGCTAATGTAAGAAACAGCGGGGAACGAGAGAGATGCCGGGCGATCGTGATGTAAGATAGAATACTGGCCGGAAACTCCCGAAAGGCGCCTGCACGCAGAGATTTGCAGACCCAATTTCCGAATAGATAATGTAAGGTTTATTCGAGGGGTGCAAGCGAAATAAATACATTCCCGCTACCGTGAGGGAGTGGGTCTTATTGTGCACTATTTTCACGTTTTTGCGGTAGATCTGTCTGATTTTGCCCCGGCTGTTTTTTCGCTTCAAATAGTTACTTGCTGTGCTGGTCTTGCCTTGAATGGTAACTTGCTGTGCTCATTGATCGGACCAGGCCTCAGCTTTTTTCATTGGCCATCGTTCACGCCCCTTATTAAAAGCCCCTCAAATTTGCAAGATGTCCACTCAACCCTGCACTTGCATTTCTTCTTGCCTCTCACCATGACCTCGTATATTGGCTGTATTCCTGTATCTGTTATCTTTGACCCTGACTTGCCTCTGTCTGTTGTCTCTCTGTCAATTGCTCGCTCTCTGGGTCATCCCGAGTCAGTCTTGCATTTTTCCGAAATACGTACGGCCGCTTATCAAGGTTGCTCGCTCACTACCGATGTCGACTTCGAGGTCGGATGTCTTGTCGATGCTGATGTTGCGATTGGCCTGAATTGGATTGGTGCGTGGTGCACCATCGGTTGTGAATCTGATGTTGCTCTTAATTTTGCTCGTCGTTCTATGTCTGCTACGCCTGGTGATGTTATTTGTACTTCCTCTTTCTACATTCACTCATCCGTTTTGTTCCTCTAGCCGAACCATGTCTCTTTCATGGTAATGCCGACCTGGACAATCAAACTATTGATGGTAGTCAGTTGGATTTAGCCCAATCCTCGTCCCTCGACGGGGCAGTTTTTATCGTCGCGCACACGATCAGCATCTATCGTTCATGATATCTTTTTTGGCATGTGTCATTCTGGGGTTCGCATCAGCCCTTTTTTGTCCGACCCTGCTTTGCTAAGTTAGGCTTGTACTCTGCACGGCTTAGTGTTTCCTCAACCGTATTCACTTCTCGAGTTATGCAATCTATTTTTACAACATATGCTTTATGGGGAGTGTGTGGTTTCCGGTATACGTCCTAAGCACCGTGATTCTACAGCCTGTCGTGAGATTTCTGCAGGTTTCAGTTCATCTTCTGATTTAGCTAATTTCATATTGGACGAATTGATGTCCGAAGCATCGTTGGTGCCATCAGGTCCTGACTTATGGGTCGTTGCACAAAGTGTTTGTACTGATTTAGTATCCAGCTTTAGCCACAAAGATCATCCCAGGCGGAAAGCTATCGGCGTCTTAAACATCTTTCGTAGTCGCCATGCATATGAAAGTGTGTCCAAATCATCACAATCCATGTTTTCTAAGGCAGAGCATATGTCTAAATCTTCATTGGAAGCCATCGCGTCGTGGCATGGCCCTATGTTTTGTGGGCACTAAAGATCAGTTGTTGGACAGGATTACTGACCACATGTCCAAAGGTCTATGTGCTTTATCCTTGCCAGATCCTTGATTGGTGTGTTCCCGATTTAACAACGATTTTCGTGCTGAAAGTTCTTTGATGCTTCCGAGTGCTCTCCTGATACCACCCAACAGACGATTGATTTGCAGATTAACATTTTAACAACGCTTCGCAAAACTATTGCGCGCAAACCTCTCCTGCGATTATTGTGCTGTCACGACGTTGAACATTCCGAAAGCGATACTCTCTCACAACTCATGAAAATGTCTCAAAAATATATATAAGTGTTCTTGTTAAAGGTAAAAGATCGCATGCGTTTTGGGTCCGCAAGGACCATGAACATCTCGCAGTGGAGAGGGAAAAGGCACAGATATCGTCGGACTGGCCATGTGTTGTGTCAAATGCTAGGAAGAAACGCGTAATTGAATTTTTTGTGAGAAAAACGAGCTCCGAAGCCTTAGCTACCTTCGTGTGCTTCGCTTGTGCAGCTCAATATGATCTTAAGGACAGGCAGCACTTGTCTTTCGACGATTTTGATGTCAGTTTACTCAACCGCCCTGATATTGCGGTTACACAAGGGGCGTCTCGTTGACGAGAGTTATATTTGCAAAGAATTTGCACATTCCAACTTTAACGTTGAGTTTCTTGCCAACGTCATGTATGAAAGCCAGGGATTAGCGTTCGATGATGGCAATTCAGATCAACCTAGTGGAGCATATGTTGTAAGGGATGTTTTTTCTCACTGAAGAAGAAAAAAAACTCCTAGCCTGGCTCTGGCGAATCATACTTATGTCGGTCCACTTCCTTTGGAATTGCGTGACCTCAGCATTGTTGAAGAAATGATGATCGCGCTGTGCAGGGCGAAATGTTTTATCTTACATTTGTGCGAGGAGTTGTGCAACATACCTAATGCTCAAGAGGTTTAAAGGGTAATGTGATTACATTTCCGCAGCGTCCTTCGAAAGTGCTGGAGATGTTGCCTCCCCCAGTCGAAGATGTAGTCACGCCCATTTGTGTATTGTTGTCGGTTCATCTCCACCAAGTGTGGATTGGTTGGGCAAGCATGCAAAACCTTTGATTGTGCGCAGGGAAAAGTAAGGTCAGTTTTAATCTGGTTGCGCGAGCATAATGCGTTATACGCAGACATGACAATCAATCATGATCATTTAGATTTGTTGGGTGAGGAAGATATCTTACCAGTTCACATCGAGACCATCTCACCAGATGCTGAGCGTGCACAAGACGCACTGACTTCACGATATGATGGTATTCCTGATGCTTCTGAAGATCCACCGTCTCAAGAAGATGTTGTCAATGACCGTCCAAACGAAGGACGTGGTACAGAGCCAGCGCATCCTGTAGATGTTTCGAACATGTCATGGTGACTGATGTGATGGGAATGCCCCCAGCCATGAATTGCGTGCGGCTGCTTTGCGTCATGTGAAGGAAAAGAACGGCGGCTTCGTCCAAATCCCACATGGGCTAAGTCCTATGAATGAATATGTTAACCCTGAGTTACTCCCAAAGATTTACCCGACTTTGTTTCCGTATGGAGTAGGTGGTTTCAAGCATCCTGTCGCATGTGCCCTCTGTCGTTCAAACGCCACATCAAGCACCTGTTTAATTTACAGATAGGCGCTTCCAAGAGCATTATTCCTTTTTATTGTTGTGTTCAACATTTTGCAGCGAAGGAAATCGTTACTACATACCAGCCTCAAAGTCAAGCGCACTATGTTTGAGTCTGTGTCAGATAGCTTTGCCTCTGTTTCTTCATCAGCTGTTCACGCGGTGTGGAGCACGTTGCAAAGGGTGATTTTGTTACGGCCTACACACAGAGGAACAAAAGGTGCGTCGATTACTGCAAGAAGTTAATAATGTGACGTCGCATGTTCCTGGATCTGGTGCAGCACGCGCTGTAATGTGCAATCAAATCAGAGGCTTAATGTTTGATAAAGGTTTGCCTAACTTTTATATTACAATCAATCCTGCAGATGTGTATAATCCTATTGTCAAATTCTTGGCAGGCAGTGAGATAGATATTGATGACATGTTGCCAAACGAGGTACCCGAATATTGGCAACAGTCCATCTTGGTCACTCATAATCCGATAGTAGCTGCAAGGTTTTTTAATTTGTATATCAAGTCGTTTCTTAGTGCATTTTGGGTTATGATAAGTTGAGTGGTGCGGTCTCTGAAGGCATTCTGGTCATGTGAAAGTGTATTATGGGTGTGTCGAATTGCAGGGGCGCGGGACGTTACACTGTCATATGATGGTGTGGTTAGAAGGGGGACATGACCCCAACGAGATTAAGAACGCATCATGCAAACAAATGATGTTGACTTTGTGACCGCTTGTTGGCCTTTCTGACGATACATATCAAATGTTATTCCTGATGACCCAGATCCCAATATTTCCGTTTCATCAGTGTTGCATCATCCTTGCTCCGTGTGGCGTGGCTCTGAACATGAGTTGTGATGATTCTTTCAATACAGTGGCTCGTCAGAAAGATTTGCATCATTTAGTGAAGGTTTGTCAGGTGCACAAGCATAACCTCACATGTTTCAAGTACTGGAAGGGTCCGCCCAGCCCGCGTGAGTGCCGATTTGATCTTGACGAAAGTCACTTTTGTGCAAACAGCTATGTTGACCCAGAGACAGGCAAAATTGCTTGCGTTGTTTGGACGGTATGGTTAACAATTGTAACGCATCAATGTTGGAACCGTATGTTGCAATTGGATATCAAGTTCATCGGTTTGGTGCGTCTGCAAAGGCGATCTTATATTACATTACAGATTATATCACGAAGTCACAGCTAAAGCTCATGTCGCATATGCTGCATTAGATTTGGCAAAACGTAAGCTGTCTGAGTTTGATCCTACAGATGATGATCTTACCATCTGAGCAAAAGAGCTGATAAGGAAGAGCGCACGCAATGATTTCTCATCAGGAATTGTCTGCCCAGCAAGTGGCTGCTTACCTGATGGAATTTGGCAATCATTACACCAGTCACGAATTCATCAATGTCTTTTGGACCTTGTTTGAGAACCATGTTGATGCCATTTTGCCTCTTCCTAAGTCATATGTCGCTGAAGAACATTGTGAAACTCATATCCCCGATGACGATGAGACACATTCATAACGAAACAGACTATGATCAGGCTGATTCATTAAAACCGCCATCTGATGAAGAAGTTATGCAGAATCTTGCTGATAATGATTTGGCCAATGATGAAGTTGGTTTGTCGATGGATGACAGTGGCAATTTGGTCCCGAGAGCAAATCAGGTCCAAGATTATACACTGAGATCTTCTGGGCTTCGGGATATGTGCATATGGGATTTTGTCGCTCAAGTTCAAAAACAAAAGACTAGGCAGCTGAAAAAGGATGACGAGGCGCATTTTCCTGACAATGAGGACGTTATTGCAGAAGACTGTCCCGATGATTTGGAGCTTGATTCTAATATAGACGCAGATGATACATCAAGCACAGCAGATGTTCGGACGAGGAAAGCGAGGACATACGATCCTCAGAGGTCAATTGAGGACATCATGAAGGTTAAAACGCGCTTACGCCCTTCTTTCCAACTGCTTGATAAGCATATGAGAATGTAACACATTGTCTTGTCATGCGTCAGCCAATAAACGATGTGTACCTGTACCGATAGGTCCTTCCTTGCCGAGGCGTGATTGTCCTGAGGTCAGAGAGCGATATTGCCGAGTCATGCTCATTTTATTCAAACCATGGACCACTGTGGCTGATTTGCGCAGCACATTTGGGTCGTGGACTGATGCCTTCGAAGCTTTTGTGAAAATATGTTCGCCAAATAAGTTATTTGTGATGAAGAATATGCAGATTTTGCATGAATGTAAAGATAGTCGAGACGATCATTTTGTGAATCATCACCAGCGTGCTTCTAACCGATCAAATCATGTATGTGGCGAGGTCTTAGAATGTACAGTGTTTCCAGAAGATTGTATAGATCATGATCTGAATGAAGAGGATATCCTTGACCACATGACGAATATTGAGCAAGTCTCGTCCATGAAAAGATCACAACAACGAGATGCGACATTAGATTGTCTCCATCACATGAACTAGCAGGCCGTTTTCAATTAAGCGAGGGTTCCGTGCCACCAAATAATCTCAGTACGACACAAGGAGACATCAATGAGGTAGACCAAAGCAATCTTGCACTAGAAGACAAATGGCAACATGCTTATGATACTAGGAGGGAAGCATGGAAATTACGTGCAGTCGAACAGGGTCATCCTGCGCCAGTGACATCTGGTCAGTCATGTGATCCGGACGTTCAGATCTCCACCAGAAACAATTTTCAGCACGCAGGTGATCATTCTCCAGCATATGCAACACCAGAAATGGGTCCATTGATTGTACCAACCACGAAACAGCCTGTCAAAGAACCGATAGCAGTTGACATATCTGCTATGATTTTAGAATATGGTTTGAATGTTGAGCAAGCCCGTGCATTTTCTTTGATAGCTGGTCACTCACTGACACAAATTCGGAACCACTTCGCATGTACTTAGGTGGCCCTGGAGGAATGGGAAAATCATGTATCATGCTGCGGTCACTGAGTTTTTCAACCGGCGTGGTGAACAAGATCGGTTTCAGCTGTCGTCGTTTAGGGAGTTGCTGCACGCAACATTGGTGGTATGGATGACATTGCACGCTGCACTAAACTTGAATCAACGCAGAAAGAGAGGCAGTGAAGGAAAAATCAAATGTGACCTCATTGCAATGTGGCAGAACGTAGATTACCTACTGATCAATGAGGTTTCAATGATTAGTTGTAATTTTTTGGTGCAGATACACGAGGCTCTTTGTCAAGCGAAAGAAAACCTTGCTCCTTTTGGAGGAATTAATATTGTGTTTGCTGGCGACTTCGCCCAACTGCCACCTGTTGGTCAACGGGGCCTTCACTGCAAAGTGAACACGTATACGGCGACCACGACTAAGGGACAAAAAGCTATGTTTGGCAAATTGCTGTGGTTATCCATTAGTACAATTGTCTTACTGAAGATCGTGATGCGACAAACAGGGGATCACAACGCATGCTTTGTGGAGGTTCTTGGCCGTTTGCATACTGGTACTTGTTCTGATGAAGATTTTGAGTTGTTGTCTATGAGAATTATCTCTACAGTGAGACCTACTTGGCATCTTGGCGAATGGCTCGACGCCTGTCATCACATCCACAAATGAAGTTAAGGATATCATCAATGAATGTGCAACATTGGCATATGCACAATACACACATCGAGCTGTGCATTGGTATTATTGCTTCGACAAACACAATGGGCACGAGATCCACTCACCTGATTTGCGGCGTCATCTTAATGGGCTACATTCAGGTTCAACTTCCCAGCGGTTGGGGAGAATACCACTGGTCATAGGTATGCTGGTAATGATTGGACAGAACTTTGACATCAGCGCAGGCATTGTGAATGGCTGCATAGGCAATTTACATAGTATTCGCTATTCAGTGGACGTAAATGGTCAGCGCCACGCTATGTCATGTGTGGTACATACCCCATCTACTCAGGTGCATCAGTAAATCACTAAACCTTCACAGACTTTGGCTTTTCACACAGATTCTCACAGTGGTGACAGACATCACAGAATCCAGGATCCCAGAGCCACAGACTTACAGATTCTCACAGTGTGCTACAGACTCACAGAATCCACAGAATAATGACAAAATTTTCACTAAGTCTTTTTTAGTTAAACATCAACACTAAGCCTATTGTAAACTAAAGCTTATTAAAATTCATTGTTAGGACAAAAGTGCTAAACCTATTGACTAATTAAAACTTGTTGGAATTCACAAATTTTACACTTTGTACTAGTAAACCTCCAACTTGAA